TGATGATGATGATAAGATGAGGATGACAATGAACAATGACAATGATGATTAATAATGATGATATTGATGATGAATGATGATGATGATAATGATGATGATGATGGTAATGATGTTAATGATGGTGTTGATGATGAAAATAATAATGATGATGATGGTGATGATGGTGATCATGATGATGATGATAATGTTGAGGATGAGGATGAAGACGATGATAACATAATAATGACGATGATGATGAGGAGGATGAGGATGAAGACGATGATAAAATAATAATAATAATGATGATGATGATGATAATGTTGAGGATGGGGATGATGAATATGATAAGGATAATAATGATGTTGATGATGACAATGATGATGAGGATGATGGTAATAATGATAATGATGATGATGATGATGATGATGATGAGCATGATAATAATGATGATCATGAGAATGATGATGATGCTGATGCTGCTGCTGCTGATGATGATGATGCTGATGATGATGAAGAACAATGATGATAATAATTATTCTGATGATGAGATTATATAAATCATGAGGCAGGATTTTGAAAGTTAAATTCTGAGATAAATTTAAAAAATCAGAACTTCATGATGTAAAGTCTCGACTTCCAATCTCTGTGTGTTTTAGGCAGAGTTCAGTGTGGAGAAGAACCATTTTCATTTGCTGGTCGATGGAATCCGTGTGACTGATGGCATCTTACCAAACAACGAGGGATCATCATTACAGCTGAACAACCCCGTTTATCTGGGTGGTGATCCAAGAAGAACCATTAAAGTACGTCCTAAACTCAGAGTGAGCAACGTTATTATCTTACACTAATTCATGCACAGTGACTATTGTGTTGAAACAGTAAAAGTTTTTTGGATGAGAGTTTAAATGGGCCTACTGATGCATAAAATAAGAATTGGAAAATTACATATTTATTTAACATCATTTTTAATAATATAAGTTATATATTATATTTACCACATGTTGTACTTAAGAGTCAGAAGATGTGTATGATGTTCAACAAAGCAAAGTTTTCCTCCAGCTATTAATAACGGGACTGACTTGGAGTTAGATGTTGAGCTGTCTGAGTTCATACTTATTTATCCAGTCAGTGGTTCATACGCACATTTCAGGGGTTTGGGACTCTGAACCAGCAGACCAAGGGTGGTGTTCCCCCTTCCACCAAAGGAGAACGGAGGGTGTGTTCCTACTACAGGTGGATCAGACTCCTCACCCTCCCTGGGAAGGTCTGCACCAGGGTGCTGGAGAGCAGAGTGATGGAGAACCTATGATTCAGAAGGAGCATAGTAGTTTCATTTTAGTTGTCTTGATTTTACACCATTTGACTACAGTGTGTAGTTTCTGCTTAAACCTTTTTTGTAGTAAAGCTATATCAAAGTTTCATAGCCTCACAAAGGTCTTTTTTCCTCTCCAAGTGTTTCTAAGGTAATATTGGAGCACCACTGTCACCTGTTCTGAAATACTTTCATGAAGTATAGGTCTACCAAGTGTTTTTGTCAGGGTGACATAGGAGATGTTTCAAATTCCCCTCTGCAGTCGGAGCTAAAGGAAGCCTAAAAATAACAGGTTCACCTGCACTTCACTCCACCTGGGCCCAGCTGGACTGACATCTATTACAACCTCTGGGATGAGAGCTGCTACTGCTGTCATCGCAGTTATTGAATACAAACCAAGGATTAGCAAACATCTATCAGGCAGCCTTGAAAACCAATCAGAAAACAGGACATGAACTCAATCTGTGGGATGGAGAAGATGAGAATAAAGTGCAGGACACTCCTGCAGGACACCTGGTCACCTTAGTCGAGTCCTGTGGGGGCACTTTGACAGTATGGGTTTCATGTGCACCATTAAGGGCTATGTGATCCCTGCGCAGCTGACATGAGAGCTTAACTTGCTGAAGCCAGACTCATCTCGTGTGTGGGACTCTAACAGTGTTACCGTTTGTCACCTGTTCTGTTCAGATTTGTTGTGAGCTGAGTTTCTGGGTGAAGGCAAAGTGCAAAAGATTTCAGTTTGATGATGATGATGATGATGATGATGATGATGATGATGATGGTCTCATTAAGTCAGGATCTCCAGCAGGTACTGGGACTGTTAGGCAGCTGGGATAAATTGTTGCTCTGGGGAAGGAAGTCAAGTATCTTAGGTGTTTTGTTGATTGTGGTACAAAAATGCAAAATTGTTGGGCAGTACCTGGAGTGACACTGACACTGTACTAATCTGCTCTCATATCATCTGTTTATCATTTTACCAAAGGTATTTGGTGCAGTGGACAGAACACAGAATCTTGTTGGATATCCACCAAACATGCTTCTTATTGGTTTGCAAATGACTTGGCGGATGGATAACTGTGTGTGAAGATGGCTGGAGACATTTAGTTCCTCCATTCTTCAGGTCACTAAAGATGTACCTCAAGGCTCAGTCTTAGGACCCATCTCATTTACAATGTACAACATTACTGGGCTGTGTGACATCTTGTCAAATGCCTCCTACCACATATATGCCAATGACTGCAACCTGCTGTTGTTCTTACTCAGTTGCACACATATTTCAACTTCTACAGGCTGCTTTTGAGGCTGTTCACATTTATCTAGAGCAACTACAAATGGTTTTAAATGCTTATCAATCAAACATAATGCATTTTTCCAATTGTTTGGTAACGTTTTTGTCAGAGCCCAAGCCCCCTGGACCGGTCTCTCCCAGCTAACCGGCCTCCATCTTGGACCACATTTTCCAGCATGCTCCTCACGGGGACTCCCGGCATTCTCCACGTCACTCCCAAGTCTATATATGGAAGTCGCCGCACCGGCTCTTCACTCAGTCATCGTTTCTTTGAGATCCATGAACAGAGTACTCAACCAAATAATCCAGCCTTCTGACATCCTTACCAAGCTCAACTCCCGTACCCAGTCGACCATCGTGACAGTTTTAGTACATCCCCAAAACAAGATCCAACCAAAGTACAGTTTGTGAGCTGGGCATCAGCTGCTAAGAATGATCTCACAGTAGAATTGTTGTTTCTGCACCTTGACTGGTGGTTTGTGAATTTGGTAAGGATGTCTTCAGGAGGCCTTCAGCGGGAGGTGTTTTAGACTCGTCCCACTGGAAGGAGATCACAGGGCTGACCTGGGGCATACTGAACAGCTCATACTTCATAGCCTGGTTGTGGTGGCCATGGAGAACACCTTGATCTAGATGAGGCAGCAGATGAGTCTGGTTCCAGATAAGTGATAAAAGGATGGATGGATTGAAGGTTTTGGAGGTGTTTAATTGTGTTATGGCGACATTATAAGGTTCCATCTTTAAGAGCCGGTCTTTTTAAAATGTCCTTTTGTCTCCAGGAACACAACATTCCTATGGACGGTATTATTGGCTGCATGCGGGAGTTTAGAATGAATGATGTTGCTGTTGGTGAACCTGATTCCAGCCATAAAATGTTACCCTGCTTTGGTGGTCTCTCAGAGATGGGGACATACTTTGGAGGTGGTCACATTGTCTCAGGTTGGTCCTCATGCCTCCACAATCCGGTTGTGTTCATTTGTTCCTATTAGAACCATCGCTTTATATTATCATGAACGTTCTCTTCCAGATGAGACTCTCACTGTTGGTTCCGACCTTCTACTGTCCTTTGAGCTGCGTCCTCAACACATGACGGGTCTTCTCTTCCATTTTAAAGGAGACAAGAACAGCCTTAATGTGTACCTACTGAAAAACAAAGTATGTTCACTGACTCCCAGAGCTAATAGTGAAAGTCAATGAAACTGGGCAGAAAAGATTAAACATGCTGTTTTTCTTAGGTGTTTGTTGATCTGAATGATGTACGTGTAACGGTGACGCCTCACAAAAGCCTCTGTGATGGGAAATTCCACAAGGTTACAGGTGAAAGTGAAATACTGTGGGATTCCTAATCCTACATGTGAGCTGCCATGGTTTTAAATGCTGCTGTTTTCTGATCTCAGTGTCCAAACAGGAAACAGTGATCCAACTAGTGGTGGACTCCATATCAGAGCGGAAAGTCAGCTTGTCCTTGTCCAATCCAAGAGCACAGTATTCACTCAACATCGGAGGTACAACGGTGAACACCATCCTCACCCATCTTGTGGCAAATAACGGGAAAATAATTCTTTATTTTCTTCCTTTTAGGGATGACAAATCGTGGCTCCCCTGTGTCACCACCTTTTATCGGTTGCCTGAGAAATGTAACTTTGGAAAACAAGCCAGTTGCGTTTCAGAGGGGATTCAGAGTTTTTGGCTTTGTGAACATCAACAGATGCCCAGCAGATTAATGACTTAAAGCATCAGCTCTGATTCACACAGCATTAACAGAAATAGCTGATTTAAATTTCAAATGAAACATTTTCATGGTCGAAAAACGTTTTTAGTGGACTGACTTGAATCTTTTCAAAGGGTTTCATTCAGCAATATTTGATGTTCTGGTAAAATATGTTTTTTAAAGCTAGTTTCTCGTTTTAGTATGAATACGGATGAAATGTGGGTGAACCAAATAGAAGTAATCTGTGTTTCTGTTAACCTGCCAAACAAAGGGTGATATATGTGCATTTACTCATGCTGGATGTTGCTTTTCTTGCAAATGCCAAGCAGAAGGTTGGTGTTTTCAGGTTTGGAACTGGAATGAGATCCAGTCACACAGCCAAACATGGATGGTTGCATTATTGTGTCCACTGAGAGCCTCAGTTTATCTCTGCATGTGAACATCAGATTCTTAAAACAGCATTTTGTTATTTGAAAGACAATAATCAACATATAAATATTCAACAACCCAAAACGATGTTAGCATGTGGAGAAAAGGTCAATTTTTACATGACATTATTATCTGAATATTAAAGGTCGATGAACTGCTTTCATACATAAAAAAGGTCAACTCAATTTCATAAAAATGCAAACCATATGTTTACATATTGAGATGGTGTAAATGTGTCATAAAATTTTGAATTCCAAAAATAAGTTTTACATCACATCTTTAGTGTGAAGTAAGAGACAATGGCTGACAATGTTAGTCTCAGTTTTAAGTTAAGAGTGTTGAAAAATGGCACCAGTTTGAAAAGATCATCTGGGACAGTGAACATTGACTGGTGGCCCACGAGCCACATCTGGCCTGCTAGACCTTCCCATCAGGCTCCCAACCCTTTGGGCCCTAGTTTAGAAGTTTAGCAGCAAAATTCATGTCCCAAATATAAATAAATGTTGTCAAGCTGCACCTCTAAAGACACAGCAGAATCATGGTTACAACTTGAACAATTTTGATCCAGTTGAGCTTTCAGAGTTATCAAAAATATTAGCTTCATCTAAACCTTCCACTTGCATTTTGGATCCAATCCCAACCAAATTATTTAAAGAAGCATTTGCTTTGGTTACTGCCCCCATTCTAAATGTAATCAATCTATCCTTAGTAAATGGGTATGTACCACAAGATTTTAAGGTTGCTGTAATCAAACCTTCACTTAAGAAGCCTTCTCTGGATCCAGATGACCCAATGAATTACAGACCAATATCTAACCTTCCATTTTTGTCCAAAGTCCTGGAGAAAATAGTGGCCATCCAAGTAAGTGAGCATTTAAACACTAATGCTCTGTTTGAGGAATTTCAGTCTGGTTTTAGAGAGTATCACAGCACTGAAACTGCATTAGTGAGAGTTACAAATGATATTCTCATGGCCTCAGATAAGAATCGTGTGTCTGTTCTAGTCTTGTTAGATCTCAGTGCTGCCTTTGACACAGTTGATCACAATGTTCTTTTAGAAAGACTTGAACATGTTGTAGGGATCAAAGGAACAGCGCTAGGCTGGTTTAAATCCTACCTGTCTGACAGATTTCATTTTGTAAACGTACATGACAAATCGTCTTCATACTCCAGGGTTACTTGTGGAGTACCACAGGGTTCAGTGCTTGGACCAATTCTTTTTACTATATATATGCTCCCAATTGGTAAAATCATTAGACAGCATGGGATAAACTTCCACTGTTATGCTGACGATACTCAGTTATATTTATCCATTAACCCTGATGAACCTAATCGGTTGGGTAGATTACAGGCTTGTCTTGAGGACATAAAACATTGGATGACTCTAAACTTTTTGCTTTTAAATCAAGAGAAGACGGAAGTTCTCATCTTTGGACCAGAAATCCAGAAAAGGAAATTGCTTAGCCAATCGCCTGACCTGAATGGCATTACATTAATCTCCGAGAACAAAGCAAGGAACCTTGGTGTTATCTTTGACCAGGACATGTCATTCAAATCCCAGGTTAAACAGGTTTGTAGGATTTCCTTTTTCCACCTTCGGAATATTGCTAAGATTAGAAGCATACTTTCCAGGAGTGATGCTGAAAAACTAGTTCATGCATTTATTACATCAAGACTGGATTACTGTAATCCATTACTCTCAGGAAGTCCACAGAATGTAGTTAAAAGTCTTCAGCTTGTCCAAAATGCTGCAGCTAGAGTTCTGATGAGAATTAAAAAGAGAGATCATATCTCTCCTGTCTTAGCTTCCCTACATTGGCTACCTGTTAAATTCAGAATAGATTTTAAGATCCTCCTTCTCACATATAAAGCTCTTAATAATCAAGCTCCATCATACATCAGTGATCTGATTGTTCCATATGTTCCTAACCGAGCACTTCGCTCTCAGACTGCAGGTCTACTGGTGGTTCCCAGAATATCTAAAATTAGGATGGGAGGCAGATCTTTTAGGTATCAGGCTCCTCTCCTGTGGAACCAGCTCCCAGCTTTAGTCCGTGAGGCAGACACTTTGTCTACATTTAAGAATAGGCTTAAAACATTTTTATTTGATAGGGCCTATGGTTAAAATCTGATGTTAGCCTAAATCTGGACAAGTGGGGGAGTAGAGGGAGGTGGAGTGTACAGTCGGTAAAGACGGCTCTCCCTTGCCCTGCCTCCAACATGCCTCCATCTAAAAGGCTAGGTTATCCTGAGTTATCTCTGTAGTTATGCTGCTATAGGCTTAGACTGCTGGAGGATACACTGACCACTTTTCACACTCTACTGCTTTATTCTACAGTCTGCTCTTTAACTGTACTATTTCCTGCTACTTCAGCTGTTAACTTTATTTTCTCTCTAAGTGTTTTTCTCCCCAGAAGAAGCTACAATGATGTTCTGCTGAGCTGTGGTGGCCTCATGGAGGGGGCCATCGACTAGCACACTGCTGCTAACCACTTAAACATTCTCTCTCTCCTGATAACTTTTTGCTTTCCTTGACGTTGGATGTGCTACTACTAGTTTATCCGTTTAATTATAGATCCACTAGGATAAATACAATAAAGTTTATCTTTCACCAAATAGAATATTTCCTAAGACATCACAATATGACTATAGACACATTACGTGTGTGTGTGTGTGTGTGTGTGTGTGTGCGTGCGTGCGTGCGTGTGTGTGTGTGTGTGTGTGTGTGTGTGTGCTCTGTCTTCTCCATCCCCAGTGAGTCGTGGAGGATGGCTGCTTATACTGAGCCAGGATTCTCTGGAGGTTTCTTCCTGTTAAAAGGGAGTTTTCCTCTCCACTGTCGCTAAATGCTTGCTTAGTATGAGGATTGCTGTATAGTCACTGACACTAGTCAGTGACTTGATGCAATTTGCTGGGTTCCTTATATAGGAAACATTATTTCTGATTGGCTTAATGAACTGACCTGAACTGGAATGTTTATTATGTGAAGTGCCTTGAGACGACTCGTCGTGATTTGGCGCTTTATAAATAAAATTGAATTGAATTGAACACCACATCAGCATGTTTACGTTCTCCAAACAGCTAAAATCACAGTGAAGAGTGACCAGAAATCCTGCTTCATGGTTGAGGGGATTTGACACATTTCTGTATCCAACACTGCTAAAATCAAAATGTACACACATTCTATCCTCCCATTATGAAGCTAAGACCCTACTGATCATGTTTCTCAGAACTCTCTACACTTTGTACAGCTTATGTCAAGATGTTAAAGCAATCAAAATGACATGAAAAGTAAACAAATCAACCTTGTCGTTACAGAAATATGCTCATTAAAGTGTGTGCGTGTCATTTTCGAACATTTTCAAAAACAGGCTGTGGGCCAATCAGGAATAGAGAAAATGCATGTTCTACTTTGTTTCTAAGTCAAATTAAACAAATAGTGTTTCATCAGAATGACTAGAAAGTCATAGCTCTCATTTATTTTATTTAATCTGCAGCAGTTCTTAGAATGTGCCTTTTCGAGCTTTCCACAGATCATAATCGTGGTGTTTGGACTACACCTGTTCACAGGAAGGAGCAACACCTGTACAATGTTTACCCGGTTGATAGACAGAGCCAACTAAACTAAACGCTGGGAAAAAACATACATTTGGACAAAAGTTGATATACTAAATAATAAAGAAATCATGATAAAATAATAATTGAACTTTATTTTAGAAGAGCATCTGACCCTCGTGGTGTCTGCTGGAACAACACTGGCACTTGGACAAATGTAGTTGAAGACCCCTAGGATGTTATGTTGTATTAACCTGGGTTTTCTGTTCAGCATCTGATGCATATTTCCCTCAAACTGTAAGTAAACTCTTTCTCGTAGTGATAATATACATGTATTATTAGTGTGAGAAGTTTGTTGTGCTTACAGTTTGAGGGAAATATGCATCAGATGTGGGACAGAATCTCCATGTTTTATTCAAAGTGAAGTTGTAACAAAAAATGCCATTAAGTATGTAAAAATCTTACATTAAACCTTTATTTATGAAATAATCAGAATGATTTTCTTTTTAAGTTAAACTGGCTAATAATTATATCTTTACCTAAAATATCTTATAACGATAATATGATAATGAAAAACAAGGCTCTTCATCAGACGGTTGAGAATATGAACAGGATTTAACGAATGAGATTATGTAGGATTACTCTTGTTAAAGAGGAGCTCTTAGAGTCGACATTTAAAACAGGCAGATGGACCATGATGCATTTAGTGATGGAGCGTTAAATCAAACAAGTGAAAAATAATAAGGAAATATGCAACTGTTGACAATTTACCCTTAAGTAAGATAACATTTGAATAAATAACATTCTGTAAATATCTCCAAAGTGCAATGCATTTTAATCTTTTAATCTGAGTGATTGCAGCACTGACATTTTCACTGGTGCTTGCAGACGTCAGCATCAGGTTTGCTGCCTGTGATGTGAATCAGTAGAAACGGTTACCCACCCCACAGGTAGACTACAATCCGCAGCTCTACGTGCAACCATGAGATGGAGCGCTTCTCTTCACACAACCAGCTCGTTTCTGATCAGAACTCAACCATCTGAACTCATCGGAGTCGGCTAATTTTCACTTCCTGCTCTCCATTTTCACTGTTTGCTTCTTAAAAGACTAAAACCCTAAATGTGTAATAAATAAGCTGAGATGGAATAATAGAATGAATAATTAATGAGAATTTTGTCTATTAAATTTTGTTTCTATTTTACTCTGAGTGAACTATCCTGTTGAAGGTGTGGGAAACACATTCAGGCCTAGTCCACACGTAGCCGGGTTAAAAAAAAAACAAAACGAATATCCGCCCCTCCAAAAACTTGCATCCACACCACCTCGTTAAAAAAAACTCTGTCCACACGTACCCGGATAAGTACGTTGTTAAGGACATGCCAGACCTGTAGGCGGCAGTACTTCCCCCATTCGTAACCTCGTCCTTCGTCTGTGGTCTTCCGCAAGGAGCAGTAATTCCGCTTGCAACAACAAACAAGCAGAAAGCGCTTGGACAATTGATAAAGCGAGCGCAGCTCTGAAGGCATCCATGCTGTCGGCTAGTGTAAACACAGGTCGCACACGTGATGTCAGCATTTTTTTGTCACGGAAAGTGACGTTGCGGACCTTAAAACTGCGGTTTTGTCCGTCCACACGCAGACACCCAAAACGGAGAAAACGCAGATCTTCACTTTGGCCGGCGTTTTTAAAAAGATCCGTTTTCATGTGAAAAAACTCAGTTTTCGTGTGGATGACGGGCCAAAACGTAGAAAAATATCTACGTTTTGGCAGATCCCCGGCTACGTGTGGACAGGGCCTTAATCAACACATTTTGCAGTGATCTCTGTAGGACAGTACTCAGGGCAAAAAAACCCAGGATTGCTTGGATCAGCACCAGTAAGTCTGCTGCTGCAGAGTGTCAGCAGACGGCAGGATTTGGAGTCTTATTTCCTGATATTTGGACATCTTGCCTCTATTTTCTATCGGAAGCTCATGCAGGTGATAGGTGTAGGAGACTATTTTCATGTTCAGCCTGCATGGAAAACTTAGTAAACAATTATAATCAGAAATAATTATTAAAAAATGTTTTTTTTCAGTGAACCACACCTTTAAAATATTTTTGAGAAAATATTTAACCAATTTTTGATATTGACTCCTTAATGACATTTTTTAGTAATATAATTGTGGTATAACTTGACTCATATCTGTAGTAAAAACACAAACATACATTGAAATGTTTTATTTAGAGTTGAAATAAAATACCTTCAATGTTTATATGGATGAAAAAATGACTTAAAACGGAGATAGTAACAGAGAAGTAACCTCATAAACCCAGGAATGTTTTTTTTCTGTTTCTGTACAATATTAACAATTTAGATTTGTAACAAACGCAGGATCAAATTTAAATTCTGTAATTCACGTGGACACGTCTTTAAGAAGCAGAGTCCTGCTAGGAAGCTCATTAGTTCATAAGGATGTATTAATACAGAAAATAGTATTTTTTTACTTTACAAGGCAAAAGCCTAACAAAGAACGGACAAATATTCACATCTGCCTCCAGAAAAAATCTGTTGGGATCTTTTGTAGATTTAAATGAAGTGGTAGTGAGGTGGACGATGGCTGGAGAGTATATATGTGTGTATTTATACAGATATACAATTACAAACATTTAAAAGAGGATCAGAGTAAAAACCTTCAACCCCAGGTACCAGAAGTAAAGTGTCTCAGTGTAAGTACAGGTGCTACATGTCAAAGAATCGTCAAACAACAACAGATAATGACCTTTTTATGAACCTTTTCCTGTTTTGAACTCGGTTTTTCCCACACTTCTTCTAGTGCTTTTAATCACAGGAACGTTTTCATCAAATTAAAAAACAACAACAAAAAAGGTGTATGTTTATATACAGGCGCAAATGTTTCTGCGCTGGTGGATCTCTTGATTAGTAAATATCTGGCAGCTGGCCGTACTTCCTATCCCAGTATCCACCAGAGAAGAGCCAGTCCTGCGAGCGGGTGTGCGGGTTCTGTCCCTGCTGGAACCACCTGAGAACACAGAGGAGGCACGTCAACACTCGTCGAGCTGCAGAACGTCCAACAAATCAGAGAGAGGACAGGAACTGAGAGAGCTGGAAAAGGTGGATGATCGCTTTAGGAGTCGGCTGATCTGGTTGTGTGCTTTGGGCTAACGTTAACGGGGATTATGGGGAGGAGAAATGGATTTTGGGGGCAGAGACCTGCGGTGTTTGAGTGATTGTGTTTAGAGCCAGGGCGTGGAGCTGTCACGCTGGTGAAGGAGAGAGCGCATCGTTAACGACCGTGAGGCTACCGCCGGTGGTTTTCTGCTTAAAAATGTGACACCGTTACAGATGAGATTCACATTTAAAGCCAAGAAATGTTTCAAAGAAAAAGAAAACACACACTGATCACATCAAACATGTCAAGTGCATCCGTCAAACAGCTCTAACCTCGGGCCCAGCGGAGGGTTCCTTAGCATCAAAGCCAGGAGGCAGCAGAGAAACGAGACAAGTGGAGATAACATGAAGTTAAACTACAGTTATGGGTGGAATAGGGAAAAGGATCACATGACTTGCTTAGCCTTTACATGGAACAGCCTAAGAACTTGCTCACCTCGTCTTCCACTCTTCATCCGACTTGGAGCGGTTTTTACGAGCAGCTCTCTGTTTCTCCTCCAGTCTCTTCTTCTCCTCGCTGGCGAGATCTGGTTGAGACCAAACACAGCTGAGTGTCACTCATCAGTGACACCACCCAGCTTAGGTTATTAACCTACTATCCTTACCGATGTCGCCGTTCTCCATGGCTCTTATGTCCGGTCTGAGCCTGCAGTCGGTTTGGGGAATGACTCCTTCCATCTCCTTACGCAGCTCATTCAGCTGCATCGCGAAACAGGTGAAGCTGTACATCTGTTAGCGAAGCATGAGGTTCGTTAAAACACCAAACTTGTGTTAGGATTAATGACGGACAACAAATCGTGACCTGGGTAGAGTTGGCTGGTCTGGGTGCGATCCTCCACAGCAGCTGGCTGCCAGGAATCACCTCCACAGTGTCTGCAGCCGGGGAGGGAACTTCCTCCTGATCCACACCTGAACCCTGAACACAGCAGAAGCACTTCAGCTCCCAGCAGGACGCTTCAGTAAGAGCACCAGCCCGGCATTATCTCATGAAGTAAAGTGGACAAAATGAGACATGAAACTTTTTACTGAGCTCTAAAATGACTGCCAATGAAAAAACTCAGCAGTTCGGGCCTGCAGGAGGGTTCTGCATAAAGAGCTGAGAGTGGATTTATCCTGTCTCTCTACCTTCATCTCCATCCAACTCCAACTTCAAATCCTGCTGCACTCTGGGGAGTCAAAACTCCCTCTTTTACCTCGCAATTAACTCTACTTTGTTGCAGATTCCCGTCGAGTCATTCATACCCCTTTGCTGGTTTTCCTCTCTTCTCCACTTTTTTTGTCGCTTTTCTTGTGGGCTTCAAAGGCAGCCGGGTCAACAACGTACAGGCACTCGGTCCACTTCCCGTAGAGCGCACACAGTTTCTTTTTGCTGTGGAACACACACACACACACACACACACACACACACACACACACACACGCACGCACACACACACAATGTCCTCAGGCACAAGTACTTGTGATGATTCCGGTTAGCTGCGAGCTTGGACGGATAAAAACCTTCTACCTGACGGTACAAAGCTCTTTTATCTGCAGGAAACATCACGAGATTCCAGCTAAAGAGAAGCCAGAGAGACGGCTTTTGTTCCTCTCTTGTGTTGTTGGCTGCTCCATCTACCGGTTTGCTTGCATATTTAGAGATTTTTTGTGCTTCAGTCATTTCTGTTGAGTGACTGGCTCATGCCTGTCCCCTCTGTTTGACTGTTGCTTTTTGTTGTTTTCTGGTTCTTTGCTGGCTTTCCCACATTGATACACTCGGACTTTTAATTCAGCAGGTTTTGCACCAGTGCACGCATCTGTCATGAACTGTTTTTCCTTTGTAACAACCTGTAAACCACTGCTTCCTCTCAAGGCAAGGAAACATCTCTAGATGCTGAAACATTTTACAGACTTTTGTATGACTCAGAGAACAGATGCAGCAACAGATTTGTCCAGGTTTTCTTTGCTGTCTCACCTAAACGTTTCAACTGGTTTCAACACTCTTGGAAACAACAGCTGCATTCAAAAGTTTGTGGCAACTTATAATGAGCTTCTTACATCCAGTGGTGTCCCCCTCCCCCTCAGGGTGATGTCACTGATCAGCGCCAAAAAGCAGCAACAGTAACATTAAAGGTATACTATGCAACTTTTTCATATTTTAAAATCTTTTTTTAGCCAGAATGTGCTAAAATAACCCTTTACAGGGTTAATGAAATGTCACTCAGACCCCCAATGCCCTCTGTGGCCAGAATATTGCACTTGCAACTTCAGAGTGCCGCTCTGGTGCCTGAAGGACTTAGAAACTAATGAAGGCTGAGGAGACATTTCAACAGTTAGATTAAGGTGTTAAAAAGAAGAATGCAGAGCGAGGAGATACGTTTCATTTTGGTTTGACTAATAAACACTGAGGGTGCTAAAAGCAAGCCCAAACTTCCTAGTATTCCTTTAATAACATTAAAAGATTTATTCTGTCAAAGTACATCATAATTTAGTGTGTTTTTTCACATTTCTGGTAAATGTGTTGGATGCATAGGCCAAAGAATAAAGGTGCAAAGCATTGCACAGCTAGGCTAAACTCCCCCGAGTTACAACAGGGATCAATTTGGTGTACCATCCCAAAATCTTCACTGGCTCCACACTTTTCCCAGGACTGCACCTTAAGCCTGGTTCATGCTCCTCCGTCAGCTCCGCAAGGGACAGACGCACGGATTGACGGAAGCGTTTTGCTCTCATACTTCTCCGCCTCCTGGAGAGTGTTGCAAAGCAATTCCCCGGCAGGACAGCAGAGGGCGTAGCGCTGTTCTGTGGTATCCTGTCATGTATCGGTCCAAGATAGTGTGTTTATGTTGTGTTTTTTGTATATAAGAGACTTTTTAACAGACAAATTTGTCTCTCATCCTCCTCCACCTCTTCATGCGCTCGCCATCTCTAAACCCAGGTTTCCTGTCATTTCCGTCTACAAATAAAACGCTTGCTGCGCATCTTTTCACTCCTCCAGTCACGGGAGAATTAAACGTTCATATTTTTAGAGTTTTTCGCGAGGTATTCTTCAAGCTGCTCCGTGTCTGCCGCTTGTTATCCTCGGCTCTCTTTATGTTTTTGAGGGCGCGGTGTAGACGACAGCAGCGTCCTGACCAATCACAAGCTTGCGTTGTCCGTCTCGACTGACGGATGTTTAGAAAAGAGAGCTCGACTCCGTAAACCCCTAGCGGAGCTCTCCGGTAGGCCGTTGCGTGTCTCCGCACTGACGCAGACGGAGAAGCATGAACCAGGCTTAAGGGATTAAATTGTGTTGCAGTGGTCTCTTTAAAATAGACAGACAGCACCGACTGAATGATCCTTCACTTTTTAAAGCCCTGAAACACACATGAAGCTTAAACGGCTCTAAGCAGCTTATGGAATCAAATCTGTGCTCATATTTCACCGAACGAGGGAATATGATTTGGAAACCGGCCAGCAGAAAAACTGGCAGCAAAAAAATGACTTGTCATTCATTCCATATGATAATGAGCAAAACTCATTTTTCCCTGGCACCTGTGATATCCCAGAATAAGCTGCAACGTGCATGATAAGTATTTCTGTGTGTGTGTGTGTGTGTGTTGGGGGGAGGGGGGGAGGGATTCCTAAATCTCCTAATTTAACAATTTCAGTGGCACACACTTGAGAAGAATAGTCTGCAGGAACATCACACCGCTGTACCTTTTATCAAAGATATAGCCTTCCACTTTGTGCAGCTCCTTTCCAAAAAGTCCACACGGTTTGAAGTTCAGACAGCACTTTTCTCCGGTTCTGCAAAAAAGAACAAACAAAAAGAGAACAGAAGGGTTTCATTCTCAAACTGCTGAGTGCTACAAAATGTCCTTTTTCATGAATAAATCAAAGCTTTAGCATGAGAAAAACTGAAATTAAACTTAATTTTGTAAGTCATAAAAATTTTTAATACACTGCTCACTGGTCTGTCAACTCCCAGAGTAATAGGGATTTTTATTTTAACTAATTAAGTGCTGGTTATTGTTTCAATCTCACAAAAGACGCTGTTGTTTGCTTTCGCCTGAACAAGTCCTGCCTGTTCTTTGTGTTTCTTTAAAAACTGTTGAAATATGCAACAGCCCTCCTGACTTTGTTCTTTGTAACTAAAATTTCAATGTGATGTGGCTTAATGACTAAAAAAATCTGTTCTTAGGAACAAGAACCTGTTTTTCATTTAATCGTGAATCTGTTTATGCAAGAAAGCCCATCAGTCAACATGGTGACCGCCTTCCTGATGAATGAATCGGACTTGTGTGTTAAACTGGTCCAACTTCTGGGACGTCCGGAAGCCAAAGTCTCGTAACGTTTGTCGGGATTTGAGTCTATCCTCAAGCTGGCATCTAACTGGGCTTTTGCGATGACTAGCTGGAGGCAAAACACTTTGAGAACGTTTGCATATTTTTAGTTGGAATTCTGTATGTTTGACACGGTTATAGGTTTGACAAATGATTTGGTCACAGAAAATGAAGATTGTTAAAGAAATAAATTACAGCATATTTTCTTGTTGTAAAATAATCACAAAATGTCTTAAAGGGGACATATTATGACTTTAGGTTATAATAATTCTTTGGTCAAAACATGTACATGAGGTTCTTTGTACTAAATATCTCACATAAAGCAATCTCAGCTGTTTTATTCTTGACAATTTTAGTACCTTCCAGAATGAGCAGTTTCAAGGCTCTGACACTTTAAGAAAACAAGCTGAAGCTGGCCACGCCCACCCATTCAACACTCAGGCTCCGATATCTAGAAGGGGCTCAGAGTGGAGCTGCTGCTCCTCCAGTAGCAGAGGGGTGGTTTTATTTTACTCTCCCATTTGTGACATCACAAATGAGGACTTTTTGAGATGGCACATAATTCCTAAAACCAAACACTGACAGAAAACGAATGGATGGATTTTTCATGGTTGGGGTGTTTATGGAGGCAGTAGAGGCCAACAAAAAATGATGCAAAAGGTGAGTTTTACATACCATGTCCCCTTTAATTGTGTCTCAATTTGGTCTCTCGAGTCATTCCTTGCACTTTCTGACTCATGGAAATTAAATTGAGAAGCATGCTAGAAGCCTGACCCTCACAAGGAATTTGGTCTGGTAAATGTTTTGAACACATTCAAAATTCCAGGGACATAACGGTGCGGGGAAACTTATGAAAAAAATGCAAAGCTCCGTGAAAGTTTCGAGACATTTAGGAAACTCCCTCAAAAATATAATTTACAACTTTTTTGTTAAGTTTGTTCTGTGTTGGTTATTGGTTACAGATGTTAGCAAGAAGGTAAATAACAAATCTCCATTCATCTGTGTTAAGAAAAGAACCAATGTAGCCTCCAGAAATGGTCTGTTTTTCCATCTACATACAGGTCGACCTCTTCAGTATCGGGTCACATGGAGACATAAGTTTTAACTGTGGCTTTAATCTGCAAGAAAGATAACAGTACCTATCTATCTATGTAACTATCTAGAGTTGTATTTTAATATACTGTAAGTAGATCACTTGTTATAATCAGAAGAATAGGTTGTTTTTATCATCAAGGAGTTCATTTAACACTCTGTATTGACCTTGAGACAAGAAAGAGAGAGTTGGGATCGTTTAAGAATTTTATTATAAATTCTACAATCTATCAGGACTAACTCTGTGTTGTTTGGAAATTAATGTGATGTTCGATGTGTGTGTGTGTGTGTGTGTGTGTGTGTGTGTGTGTGTGTGTGTGTGTGTGTGTGTGTTTGGTTCAGACTCCTTAGGCTGACATCATTGAATCTGGTTGTTATGACTACGGACCACGAGGCTTATAAAGTGATGACATGAGCTGCTATTTTGCCGTGTACGTACCCAGTGGGGGCCTCCCAGGTAGATCAGGGAATGCCAGGTCTGAAGACCTCGGATGTGCGCTGGAGCTGGTCGAAACAGCGATCGCAGCGTTTCAAAGCCCGTCTGAAGGGTCGACCCAGGTAACAATCGGCAGCGTCAGCAGGTGCTCTTATTTTGAAAGGATGTCGTCTGGTTGTTAAACGACGAAAATCTCCAACTTCACAGTTCTTAGTTTAAAGAAGAAAACACATCTGGCCAGGCTGTGCTTCTCTTTGGGATGACGGTGAATAGAACTGAAGTCAAAATGGAACTGAGCTTAAAATGGCGTTGCCTTGTTTTATATCTCTGAATTGTTGATAAGTTTTAGTAAAGCGGATTGGACACTTTAAGTCAACAAGCCAGATTCTCTTGCGGCAGCCGAAAGCTCTGATTGGTTGGAACAATGTGTCATGCGTTTCTATGGAGATGAGGGTCAGTCTGTCTGTGCAGTAGTCCTGTTTTCATTAAACACATAAATCATGACATCTTTATTCCACAGATCATTCACTTGATTATTATTGATCAACATCTGTTTCGAATAGCTTTAATCACAAATTAAGTACTTTGATTATTGAAAAGCGTTCTTCTTCTCCTTCTGGCTCTTCTCCTGGAATGTAAACAGTCTGAGGAACACCCGACCTTGGCATTTTCTACACGGGTGTTACTGTGCACAGGGGCAGCTGTGTGGAGCTGAAAATAATGAACTTCATAACCTTACACTGTGCTTGCCCAAGGTCCCTCGCAAGCTCCCCCTTATCAAAGACTGCTTTGCTTCACAGAACAAGACGGATGAACTTTCATAATTAAATCATATAATGAACAAGATAAGTAAATAATCATAGGGTTGAATGAATAATAATGGTTGAAGAATAATAACAATGTTTTGATTAATCTGTGCTTAAATTACTGTGGTTGAAATGAATATTACTATGTTATGATCAGCAAAGTTAGATTTAACAAGTGAATCACTATCTACTGACAGCTCACACTCAGACACGTGACGATGACTAATATCCTGACACATTGCTTTCTGATCCACCAATCAGAACTCCTGTATCTGATGCAAGGTGTGTTTTCTGAGGTTTGTTGGTAAAAACCCTTTTTACATGTCAAATTCTGATTTGTTAGTAAATCAAAACATGACGATCATTAAAACAGAGCTCACTTCACCGTGAGTCAGTTCTAGTTCTTGCGAGTTCTTGAGAAAGCTTCGGACCGGCCATCCGGAGCAAAACCTCTTTCACCCAGAGCATCTTTTGACAAGCTGTCAAAAACCTGTTGCACGCTACAGCTGACCGCAAACGCTTCCTTCAGAATAAAGCTGAACCACCTTCGACTCCTTAAGAGTCCTTCCATAGACGCAAACACTACCTGTTGTGACCTGGAGACATCCCGAGAACAGTTTAGTGGCACTGCGGTTGCTTCTACGGACTTCTGTATCTTTGGGGTCTACGGACTTCCTGGTGTTACGGATCTACCACGGGGGTCTTCCAGCTGGTACGTAGACTCGACAGATTGCGTCTGATGTGGTTTTATAAACCATCAACTTACAGTTTACAGCAGACCAAATTCACTCCCACTCAGAACTCAGTTTCTTCAGATACGAGGGTTCTGATAACCTCACATTCACACATCATCACACCTCACATTCCATCCACTTAGATTCATTCATCCCATAAAGTGTAAATAAACTTCTTACTTTTTATAAACTTGACTCTCTTCTTGAATTAATACGAAGTGTCTTACAATCCCTGAATAAACAAAGAATTCTAAATCTTCTGGTTAAACATTCAAAGATCAATCAGACTGAATTTCCATATTTATATAGAAATTCACATCATGATGGTCAAAGTGTAGTGTAGTACACTGAGCCTTAAAAGCACCCAAAATACATACGTATGCTACTCCTACACCAAATAATGGTTCACAGCTTGTCACCAACAATTACAGCCTTGGGAAAAAACTGGTGTGTGACATTTTTGTAAAGCTTACCAATGTCCTGCTGGGGTGGAGTGGTGTAGTAATCTACAGGATACAGTTGTTTTATAGTTTGGACTTTAAAATCTACCATCGATAAAGACTTTTTAACTCCTTAAAAAAACCAGTGTAGTGTCGACACCCAACAACATGTTTAATGTGAAAAATAGCTTTTTTTAACATTAACAACTAGTTTCCCAAAGACTTTTTAGTTAAAAGTTAGAAAGTGATAAACTGGCTCAAGAGAAGCCAGTTGGGGTGACTCGGGCATCTGGTCAGGATGCTTCCTGGACATTTCCCTGGTGAGGTTTTCCGTGCACGTCCAACTGGGAGGAGACCTAAAGAAGGACCCAGGACACACTGGAGGGACTATTGGGCCATTCCCATTTGTACCTGGTCGGCCCTGCCCGGATAGCTCCAGTCGGCCCAAGCCTGGCCCGGTTGATTCCACACATCCGTATGCAAGGAATGCAGTCAGAGACATTTTCAGCTTCTAGGTTATCGGCATGATAATGCCCATGTGGGCTGATTCGACCCACCAATCAGAGGCTTGCTGTAACGGAAGGTGTGAATTTGCTGTCAGCAAGTGGGTGTGTTGGCCCTGGTCAGCCTGAAGCAGACCACCTCAGAAAGAGGGCTGAAAAACAGTCTTGTTGCACCCTAAAAAGAGGCAGGCCACCAAGATATGTAAGCAAGCTATGCTATCCGGGCCGGGCCGACCAGGTACAGATGGGAATGGCCCATATGTCTCTCAGCGGGCCACGGAACGTCTTGGCATTCCCCTGGAGGAGCTGGTCCAAGTGGCTGCGGAGAAGGAAGTCTGTCCCTGATTAGGCTACTGCCCCTGCGACTTGACCCCGGATAAGTGATAATAAGGGATGGATGGATAAACTGAAGTGCTGTCAATTAGTTGCTTATTTTTTCTTATTTAAAGACATAATTTTTAAGATACTGTCCATTTGCAGTAAAACGATAAGGCTTGGCACTTCCTAAGCACACACTGCCCAATAAGATCCAAAGTTCGAAGAAAACCTTTGAATAATTTTATCTTCAGACCTGTGGTTGATCAGCTCCACGTTTCCATACTGCTCGATCCACAGCTGACCCACAATGATGTTGTGAACACAACATGTAGGATTGGTCCATGTGTAGGCCTCATTATGCCTGAACACAAACAAAACAAACACGATTTTCTATGTTTTCCTAATAAAATAAACTTTGATGCAGCATAATGTTGAAATGCACTTACTTGGGCAACTCCAGCGTTATGGTGCCTTTAGGTTCAGCTTCCACACTTTTCCCCCAGAACTTCAGTTTGGGGTAAATTGATCCATGAAACACAAAGTCTTGCCTCAGGCCCTCAACATGGAAGGCACTGACTGGTGGGTGGTGGCTCACCTGCTCCGATAGGAGCCTGAAGCCCAGATCCTCTCTGGAGAAGAACACGGGACACGGTTGTGCAGGAATTTGCAAACGTTCTGGGAATTTTATCTTTAAGGCATTCAATTCTGAGAAGAGCAAAACGTGGCACTTCAGATAAATGTCCCTAGATCTGTGGTCAGCTATCCTACCTGACCAGTTCGTAGGTTTCTCCTAGCAAAGGGTTGAACGGTTTCCCCGTCCGCTCCCACTGGGAAGCTACAGCGGACACGGCAAACGCAGCCACACACTGCAGAATACACACACACACACACACACGGAGCCCAAGTCAACAGGTTTAACACTGAGGCTAAGCATGAGTCCATTAAACCCCGTCCACAGAGGGGCAGTTTAGTTTGCTCACGCCGACTGAATGAAGAGAAAATGTGTTCTACCTTCATCCTCTCAATAGGATCCGAGGATGCGTTGGCCTGATGAATGAGGTACGTGTGCTCCATGTACTCTGCGAGACGCTGCAGGAAGCTGAGCGGCTCATTGAAAATCACCGGCATTGTAATCTTGGAGAGCTCCTGCAAGAGATACGAGGGGTGGGGGTGGAAACAGCGGTTGAGGTGTCATTATGGAGAGGACAGTGGCACTGAAAAGACCCATGAGAACAAACACTCCACTCAAAACCTGAAGAACAGCTTAAGAAGATCCGATCCTCAAACACACGATAGTAAGACTTAGTTGTTTTTTAACATTCCATACCGGGATTATGGCGCCGCCTCCTCTAATGCACCCACACAATAATTCTACAGTGTCAGTGAACACTACATGTATGTGCTTGCAGCCTGTTCTCGTGTCTCAGCTTCTGTCAGGCTGTACTCGAGTCTTAAACCACATGCTACAGTTTCCATAGCAACACACGAAAACAACTGGTGTAGCTCAGCAGGACTCATATACGTACTTACAATTTACCCCCTGCTGTGACTGTCAGCACGCTGTGAACACTGGCATACAGTGTTACGATGCTTAGACTCCCATCCAGAAAACTGGTTAACAAACGGCAATTAGGTTTAACCACGTCATGAATGTAGTCCCAATGTCACTTTTATCTCAGATTTACGTCCCCAACAGCTTCCAAGGTACATATTTGATCTTTTAGCTGTTAAATGCTCAAATATATATTTATTCAGGCTGCCAGCTTCTGCAAACAGGAATCAGAAACACACACAATGATAACACGCAGCCGTGAGACTCTGTTCATACTGTCTGTTAACCATTTAGCAAACAACTGACAAAGAAGCAAACATGAATTTAATCCTGTTTTGGCTAGATGTTTACAGTTTGTGACCAACAGGTTTTGGAAGAAAAGAACTGTCATTTGACAAGGCACGAGTATTATTTGTATAACATTTTATATAAAATAAAGAAACTCTTGGAAGAGAAAATGCTATTTATTTGTTTGCAGTTTTACTAATTCACTTAAAATGCATTATTTTGTTATGGAAGGGAAGAACAACTACCTCATAGCTAAAACTACAGTGTGATGATAAAATGATGTAACAAATATTAATTTTGTGTTATATGTGTAAAACAAAAAAGGCTGCACAGTGGAACAGTGGTTGGCGCTGTTGCCTTGCTGCAACAAGGTCCCGGGTTCAAATCCTAGCTCAGGGTGTCTCTGCATGGCGTTTGCATGTTCTCCCCGTCTCCATGGGTTCTCTCCGGGTGCTCCGGCTTCCTCCCACAGTTCAAAAACATGACTGTCAGGTTGATTGGTCTCTTTAAATTGTCCTTAGGTGTGTGTGTGTGTGTGTTGCCCTGCGATGGACTGGCAGCCTGTCCAGTTTGTACCCTGCCTGCTTGTCCAAAGATTGCTGGAGATGGGCACCGGCCCCCCGCGACCCCGCGTGGACAAGTGGGTACAGATGATGGATGTGCAGGACAACATTTTGTGTTATGCACTTGATTGTTTTGTTGTGCTCTTCCTAAGTTTAGTTTCCAACTCCTGATTATTTTATCTAATCAGCTTTATTAATCTACATCATCTTTCAACGTTTCCCTGTTAATTGTCTGCTTACCACGGGTCAAACCTCTTCCTCATCTGAGAGGCCTCCTGGTAATAAACTCTCTTCAACTTTCTGTCTGTAGTTTTTCCGATGAGTTTAAATTATTTCTGTGTCATGATTTTTGAATGTTAATTTCTGACCTGATCTCTGTGGTCTTTGGTGTTGAGCAGAGAAGAAAGGGCCTGCTGTTGCTGAAACAACCTCACAGCAACGTGGAGATAAAATGGACCACCATGCATTGTGGCAGAGATATTCAGCTCCGGTCCTGGAGGGCTGCTATCCAGCACGTTTTAGTTTTAACTCTACAGGCCCTTCGCAAAAAATTTGCATATTGTGATAAAGTTCATTATTGTCTGTAATGTACTGATAAACATTAGACTTTCATATATATTAGATTCATTACACACAACTGAAGTAGTTCAAGCCTTTTATTGTTTCTAATACTGATGATTGTGGCGTACAGCTCATGATAACCCAAAACTCCTATCTCAAAAAATTAGCATATTTCATCCGACCAATAAAAGAAAAGTGTTTTTAATACAAAAAAGTCAACCTTCAAATAATTATGTTCAGTTATGCACTCAATACTTGGTCGGGAATCCTTTTGCAGAAATGACTGCTTCAGTGCGGCGTGGCATGGAGGCCCAGGATGCTTCGATAGCAGCCTTAAGCTCATCCAGAGTGTTGGGTCTGGCGTCTCTCAACTTTCTCTTCACAATATCCCACAGGTTCTCTACGGGGTTCAGGTCAGGAGAGTTGGCAGGCCAGTTGAGCACAGTAATACCATGGTCAGTAAATCATTTAGCAGTGGTTTTGGCACTGCGAGCAGGTGCCAGGTCGTGCTGAAAAATGAAATCTTCATCTCCATAAAGCTTTTCAGCAGATGGAAGCATGAAGTGCTCCAAAATCTCCTGATAGCTAGCTGCATTGACCCTGCCCTTGATGAAACACAGTGGACCAACACCAGCAGCTGGCATGGCACCCCAGACCATCACTGACTGTGGGTACTTGACACTGGACTTCAGGCATGTTGGCATTTCCCTCTGCCCAGTCTTCCTCCAGACTCTGGCACCTTGATTTCCGAATGACATGCAAAATTTGCTTTCATCTGACAAAAGTACATTGGACCACTGAGCAACAGTCCAGTGCTGCTTCTCTGTAGCCCAGGTCAGGCGCTTCTGTCGCCGTTTCTGGTTCAAAAGTGGCTTGACCTGGGGAATGCGGCACCTGTAGCCCATTTCCTGCACACGCCTGTACACGGTGGCTCTGGGTGCTTCTACTCCAGACTCAGTCCACTGCCTCCGCAGGTCCCCCAAGGTCTGAAATCGGTCCTTCTCCACAGTCTTCCTCAGGGTCCGGCCACCTCTTCTCGTTGTGCAGCGTTTTCTGCCACACTTTTTCCTTCCAACTGAGGTGCCTTGATACAGCACTCTGGGAACAGCCTATTTGTTCAGAAATGTCTTTCTGTGTCTTACCCTCTTGCTTGAGGGTGTCAATGATGGCCTTCTGGACAGCAGTCAGGTCGGCAGTCTTACCCATGATTGCGGTTTTGAGTAATGAACCAGGCTGGGAGTTTTTAAAAGCCTCAGGAGTCTTTTGCAGGTGTTTAGAGTTAATTAGTTGATTCAGATGATTAGGTTAATAGCTCGTTTAGAGAACCTCTTCATGATATGCTAATTTTTTGAGACAGGAATTTTGGGTTTTCATGAGCTGTACGCCAAAATCATCAATATTAGAAACAATAAAAGGCTTGAACTACTTCAGCTGTGTGTAATGGTAAATGGTAAATGGACTGTATTTGATATAGCGCTTTCTAGAGTCCTGGAACCCCTCAAGGCGTTTTACAACACAACCAGTCATTCACCCATTCACACACACATTCACACACTGGTGGGGATGAGCTACGATGTAGCCACAGCTGCCCTGGGGCGTGGATGGAGGCTGTAGGAGAGGCAGGAGAGTGTCGCGAACAGAACTCAGAAGACCCGTGAAGACGCCAACACAGTAAAAATAGATAAAAAAGTCTTTATTTGTAGCAGAGTTACCAGGAGGGCGAGGCTGGAGACAGAGTCGGTAGGCAGGCTAAGGTCAAAATGGCAGGCAGAATACAAGGCAGGGGTCAGGCAAAGAACGAGGTCCGGAGGCAGAGATCAGGCAGGGTGAAACGCTGGAGAATTACTGGCAGGGCTGTAATAATCTGGCAGGGAACTGGTGGTTTACTGGTGAATATATAGTAGGGGAAGCAGGTGTGTGAGATGAAGCTGATTGTGGTAGTCAGGGAAACAGGGCTTGGCTGGGGCTTAATGATGAGATCAGGTGTGCTGCATGAAGGTGATGAGGTGCTGACTGGGTTTGCTATGGAAAACAGGCTTGGCTGGAGCTTGGTGAAGGGACCAGGTGAGCTGAATGAAGGTTGAATGAGGAGGCAGAGGAGGGTGAAGGACGGGAGTCATGACAGAGCGACAATGCTGCTGATGGTGTTAAACAGCACCTTGGGGTTCCCTTTGCTCTGGGACGCCGGTGGAGAAATAGGAAACCCTAGCGTCTCTGACTGCAGAGTTAAAGGATGTCAGAAGATCCTTTAGGTGCAGCAGATGGACGTGGAGATGGGTTTCCTTCCACAGACGCTCAATTTTTCTGCAATGAATCTAATATATATGAAAGTCGAATGTTTATCAGTACATTACACAGAATAATGAACTTTATCACAATATGCAAAATTTTTGAGAAGGACCTGTATTTCAACAGGTGATTAACAGGCTTCAGCAGAGCCTGATGAGCTGCTGCACAGGTTATTCAACCAATGAATCAAGTGCGTTGGAGCAGAGAAACCAATAAAATGTGCCCTCCAGGCCTGGAATTGAATACCCCTGCATTATGGGATGGCATCCTGAAGATACACAGGCACTGTGTTAATGGATGGTTAGGTAGAGCTTTATAATGGGGTTACTATTTGAATGGAGATTTTAATTGCGTCACTTACAGCCTAAAGATAAAGTGTGTGTGTGTGTGTGTGTGTGTGTGTGTGTGTGTGTGTTTTATAAAACACTGAATGGATTTAAATGAAACTCTCAGAAAGTAATTGTTAAATCTGCAATTGTTTACCTTCCTGAATCAATCAAACCCAAGATGCTCCCACAACTAATCAACAGCAGACACCAAAAATGCCTACAGGTCTGTCATTTCTAGCCCATAAATGTAATTTTCCACATTACGTTACGTTGTTTTTTCTCCAAGATTTGACCTAAACAGTTATAACACGAGATTCTGATGTAAAACTGGCTTCAAATCCAATTGCTTCATGCATTCCTTCAAGAAATAACAAGTCCTCAGATTTTTGAGTTTAATGTCTCTAAAATTTCCACCTAACCTGTGCCATAATCCTATTTTCTGACATTTATTTGAAAACTTCCCTGTGTAATCGAATACTAAAGGCCATTCATCGTTTCTGGAGCTTTAAAATTTCTGGAGCAGAAAAGAGGAATTGATCCCACAGTTCTTGAAAATGTTAAGTTCACAACATGATGGCAGCTTAATCACCAAATGCATCCAGATTTCACGTACAACCGGCAAGAATGAAACCCCAACAAAAGATGCAGACTGAGCACCACTCTCACCATGCCGATGCAGTTCCTCAGGATGCTCCAAATGCTGAAGTCGTTTCTTGAAAACATCGGTGCCGGTAAGCTCATCCTGAAATAACACATAATTATACCTTATGTCATCTGGAAGGTGAGCATAATGGAATCATTTTGTGCAGGAGCTCTAAATAAAAGCTTCAGACACCTAACAGCTGCAGGTGGCACTTCAAGGCAATGCAGTCAGAAAAAAATCAGTGAGGCACGAAAAGTGTTCAGCAGGTTTGGAATAACCGGTCAGCTTGAAATGACGAGGTACACTGTAGTGCAAAAGTCAGGGAAAAGGATAGGTGAGCAGCATAACTAATTTAAAATACACCCAAATCACATGACCCAAAAGCTGCAGAGGGATCAGCAAACATGGGATCGTGCAGCCAACTGATTGTTGCATTACACCGTGACCTTATCAATATTTAACAGAGCGACACAGAGCTTAGTCTGTTCAATGCAAGCCTTTCACATGCATTGACCAGGCAGGCCCTCACTCTAAATTATTCACACTAGCAGGTGGAAAGACCTGAGGGAGGACAGGAGAAATAAACGATCTCCGAAAGAAGCAAAACAGGGTCTTTGTAGAGGGGTTTCATCCCTAAACTTGAGTGAAAAGACTTCTCTAACTGGGTGTGTGTCAATTTACAAAGCTCTACAAACACACAGCACTGCTGACCTATGCGTTGTTATCCCGTTGGGTTGAGTCTCATCCCTGTCTCCATGGCGATCCTCCTGCAACATGCTGCTGGCGGGGCTGCTGGAAGGGCTGCTTAGCATGACAGACCCTTCGTCTTCCTCCTCGTCCTCTTCAAAGGAATGGCTGGCCACCGTCTCAAAGCCGCTCAGGGAGAGCTCAGAGCCTGATTCTGACAGGGACCAACACACGAGATAATGAACCGCGTTCGCAGGACGGACAGAGAGGCTGATTACACGAGCCGCTGAAGTGCAGGAAGAACGCGCCTTTCATTAAAAGAGAACGAGAATAAAAAACTAAGTCTGACTGACACCCGTGTAGTGGTAGAGTAGTAGAAGAACTCTGGCCACGCTCTTTAAAGAACCGCTTGATGTTAAACAGCTTCTCTTTATTTGTATTTAAATTACTCGCGCTGCTTAAAAAGTTCTTTACATTTAGTTTCTGTCAAACACACAAAAGAGAACGAGCTCAAACTTTACAAACTACTACGAGCTGCACCCCCGTGGTCTCAACAGATAAATAATACTGTAAACTGCTTTACAAAACAAGATGTCCTTTCAGTTTTTGACAATGCGATTGATATCACCGGCTTCAGATTTTATATTTTACATTTATGAAACAAAAAAGTGGGATCTCCTTTTGACCTGTGCTGTGAGAATAATCAGCCTAAATGGTTTCATGTCACTCTAGAAGATGAAAACTTGTTAAAGGTTATTTGGGTGTGGTGGTGTTAAAAGTCGAGGAAGAGTCTTTTTCATTGATTTTAATATTAGACTGATTTAATAAGTAATATTCATTTTAGCAGCTTAAAACTCTTATTTTTATGCAGAAATACAACAAAGCTGTTTAAACTTGTCTGTAAACTCAAAATAAAGTTTTCTTTGTATTTTGTAAACATTTGAGACAATAACAGTGTAGGACATTAAAATACGTACATTTTATTAGCTTATTAGTTCAGTGAAGTTCAGCGTGTGTAGCTGCAGAATAAACGGCTCTAGCTCGACCACAACTGTAAAGAAGTCTGTCGTTTTATTGCTTTTTCATGGGTTAGAATCACAATGAAGCTACTTCCATGCTGCTGAGTAAAAAAACGCATCACTGATGCATCTAAAGCCAGCCAGGCGAGCGGTGGAGGTGTAACACCTCGTCATAGATGGTGGAAGAAACTCCAACAGAATGCATCACAACAAGGTGCCAAACGTAAACCAAACAGCACGAACGAGGGATGAAAACATTAGATTTCATTCACACAGAAATTAGAATGAATGTAATGTTTAAGCAAAACGACTGCAGTCATCATCAGGCAGTTTAGTGGTAACCATCTTTAAACCCCCAGTGACAGTTACTCATCCCTGTTTTCTTACGATTCCTGGATTTAAATGAATATGCTCTAGATTAGCGAAGGGAAAACCTTCGTGGAGATCCATCTTGGTGCTTCCTTACTGATGCATCCATGCACATTGCTTTCCATCTACCATTTTATTACACATCTGCACAGAATTCAGTCGCACCATTTATTAAACTAATAACCACTTCCGTTTTGTAGCCACCTTTAAAAAAACTCATGAAGAACCAGATCTGTAAGAACAAACACCGAGTTTGAAGGAGCAACAAACATACCAAAGGACTCGATCGGCAGGAAAAAGTTTCCCAGTGTCCTACGGGTGAACGAGAGTGCACCAAGTTTGTCACAGAATCTCCTTCGAGTCCCATGAGTGTTTGAGAACTTGTCAACTCACCAGACACAGCGTCGTAAAACTCATCCTCGCTAAGGGCGCTCCGCGACGACGATCCCTTGACGACGGATTGCTCAAGTTTATGGTGCTCCGTGGCGAGCGTCTGCAACGCTTCCGAGAGGATCTTATTCTTCTCAAACTCGTGCTCCAATTTCAGACAGCACACCTGAGCTCAACACACACACACACACACACACACACACACACACACACACACACACACACACACACACACACACAGGAGAACATACTAATCACCCACAGATAGGCAAACAAACCCGAATTTCCTTCTGAGCATTTAATGAATGTGGCGTTCTCATAGCGACCAGGATCTTGCTCCAGGGCCTGCCTGCAAACACATTTTCACAGCTACCAAACTGAATCTGAGGGCCGTGGCTCTGAGAACGATCAGCCTGTGAACTGACTGATCATCTTTTCTTTACCGGACCCACAGAGAGAGGTTGAGAGACGGGCCATGTTGTCCTGTGTTGAAGGATGGCCGCCTCAGAGACGCAGTCTCGTATGTCCTGCTGGAGAACATGATTCCTGTGCAGGAGAAGGGGTCAAATGACGGCTGATGGGCTTTGAATAAACTGTTAGCTAGAGCTTCTTTTTGCACAAAATCTTAAGTGTTTGGATCCTAATTTTAATCTGCAGCTTTATGGAATAAAACCCACCTCCCTGCTGCTACTGACAGCAATGTAATTAAGTTGGAGATCACAGTCAGAGACAGAAATATCACTCACACATCAAGAGGGATACATCAAGTTCATGGAGCAGCTCCTGTCTGCTGACCGGACCGGGCCGGGCCGGACCTCAGCAGGGGCAGCACTGAAACAAAGAGCTGCAGGAGATGGAAGTGATTCTGAGCTGCTGGTTTTACAGCAGGAGAATGAGTGCCTCTCTGCCTCATTTAGACTCTACGCCACATTCTTCAGCTCCACCCATTGATACCAACTCTATTCAACTCTGATTCTGCAAGTCTTTTATAGTACAGTGTGCAGCTGGAGATCGCAGTTCAAAAGGCTGCACAGCTGAGCGATCAAGGCCTGGAATACAGGTGTAAACACTGACGGCTGAGCAGAGCATTCAGACCGTTTCTGGCAGCCGCTCTGCTCCTTCCAGGCTTTCTGTGTCAATCCCAAAGGAGTCCAACTGTCTTGTTTCAGAGAGTCTTTTCCCCTCCTGACTTCAACATTCTGACTTTGGCTTCCAACAAATCTTTTCATGTTTTTATTACAGCAACAGCCAGTTGGGATGATAGGCATTCGAGATCTGAATGTGTGCATTATCGTATAAAAAGCAGGTAAACACAGAGCTACACATTCAACAGCAGCAGTGCATCTAAAGCAGCAGCTCGAGTACAACACGCAATCAGAGCGGCGTCAACAGCAACTACTTCTCATTCCGCTGGGGTGCTCCGATGAAAATGTACTTGGGAAGGCGCCGGAAATGATCTCATCTGGCAGGGAGACATGATGCAGGCTTTAAGGATCTGAGAATCTTCACTTCTAGAGTATTACAGACACAACGTGCAAAACTGGGGACATTTTCATTATAAAGGGGTTAAAAACTTTTATTTCACGACTGAATGGTTCAAATTCACCTCTAACAGAGATTTAATCTCATCCAATTCGTAGTGGATAATCTTGAATCTGCTGCTTCTGATTTAATTTCTACGTATCTGGGTTCACATCCGTATTGTTTTCTAAAGAAAACACGCACGCACGCACGCACGCACGCACACACACATACACACACACACACACACACCTTTGTTGCTGTGCAGAGAAGCAACAGTGAGCGTGTGGAGAATGTCTTGTGACTGGCAGGACAATAGCATCTGCTGCCAGCTGTTCTGTCACATTGTTCATGGAGGGACATTCCTCGGTGTTGCAAATACACTTCTGAAACAAACCGGCTGGATGATGTGATTTCATCTTAAAAAACTTTCTTGTATGACCTCAAAAGCATGAGCCTGCAGCAAATGGCTCTCATGCATGATAATGCTGATGGTAGTCTAGAAAAGTTAAACAGAATCTGGTGTATGAATAAATCCAACACCAGGAGCCTCAGGAGGGTTTAATCAGGCCTTCAAGTCGCAAAGGAAGCTAAGAACTGTAACCTGCTGACAGTAGAACGGGATGAATTCAGAGTGAAAGGTTGAGATTAGGAATATTCCAATATGTGAAGACAAAAAGGGGAGCAGTGTCTTAGCCTGCTATGGCTGCACAGATTCAAGGATTATATCAGTTTCTTTGATTATTTCTGACCACTTAGATGGTTTAGATCAGGAGTCACCAGCCTTAGAGAAGCTGAGAGCTCAAAGAGCCGTATGAAGGGCTACCAGGCTGATACAATACTGACCTTTAAACTGGAATAGATCAGAGTTAAACAAAACATCATGCACAATAAAAATCTTTTACTGTTTAGAAAGAAAACTGTAGTCTTTATTATATATAATATAATATATATCTCTATATATTATATTTTATATATATATATATATATATATCACATATATAATATATATACAATATATATATTATATATAATATATTATATATATATATGATATATTATATATATATATATATTATATATATTATATATAACATATATATTATATATAATATATATGTTATATATATTATATAATATATATATATATATATATATATATATTATATATTATATATATATATATATATTATATATATATATCATATATATGATATATTATATATATATAATATATAATATTCAATTCAATTCAATTAAATTCAAAAATACTTTATTAATCCCAGAGGGAAATTAATTGCTGTAGTAGCTCAGACTAATAATATTAATCAAGTCATCAAAGAGTTGTTGTATATTACAATGGCTGTTGGCAGGAAGGATCTCCAGTAGCGGTCAGTGTTGCAGCCAAACTGAAGAAGCCTCTGACTGAAGACACTCTTCCGTTGTCGGACAGTCTAGTGAAGAGAACGCTCAGGGTTGTCCATCATTTTCTTGATTCTCTGGAGAATCCGTCTTTGCATTATCTCCTCCAGAGGTTCCACACTATATTATATATATAATATATATATAATATATATATATTATATATATATTATATTATATATATTATATATATTATATATTATATATAATATATATATATATATATATTATATATATAATATATATATAATATATAATATATATTATATATTATATATATATATTATATAATATATATATATATATATTATATATTATATTATATATATAATATATATAATATATATTATATATATTATATATAATATAATATATATAATATAATATATATTATATATATGATATATTATATATAATATATATATATATATATTATATAATATATATATATAATATATAATATATATTATATATTATATATATATTATATATATAATATATATATATATATATATATTATATATAATATATAATATATATAATATATATAATATAATATATATTATATATATGATATATTATATATAATATATATATATATATATTATATATACGACAGAGAATCAGTTTGGTTTTAAAGGTAAACGTAGTACTGACTTGTGTATCTACGCTTTAAAAGAAACTGTAAGCAAATACACGAGGCATAATACTTCTGCTTTTATGTGTTTTTTAGACGCCTCTAAGGCCTTTGACAGAGTCAATCATCAGAAATTATTCATCAAGCTACAAAACAGAGGGGTCCCTTCATACCTAGTTAGGATTTAGCACTTCTGGTACTCTCATCAACTGATGCAGGTAAAGTGGGGGACAGAAGTGTCTGAACCTTTCTCCGTATCGAATGGAGTCAGACAAGGCGGGATTCTGTCACCTGTCCTTTTTAACCTGTACCTCGACGAGCTGTCTGTCACTCTGAATGCTAGTAAGACTGGATGCCTGGTGGGTGACCGCCTTGTAAATCATTTAATATATGCAGATGACCTAGTCCTCATGTCTCCCTACAGCGCAGGCCTGCAGCAGCTGCTCAGGGCATGTGCTAAGTACGGTGAGCAATTTGACATCCTGTTAACCCTAAAAAGAGTGTGGTTATGATTGCTGCTACTAAAGGGGACCTGAAGCTTAATTTTCCATCTTTTAACTTAACAAATCAGGTCCTGGAAGTGGTAAGCAAAGTAAAATACTTGGGGCACATTTTAAGAAGTGACCTCTGTGATGACGAGGACATTAAGAGGCAGTGTGGTAAGCTGAACATGCAGGCTAACACTCTGGCACGTAACTTTGGCATGTGCTCAGATCCTGTTAAAGTGTCCCTCTTTCGTTCCTTTTGTACTCCTCTCTATACCGCCCACTTGTGGTGCAACTATAGTAGTAATGAAGAAGCTTCACGTGGCTTATCAGGATGCTTTTAGAATCCTCATGAAGCTCCCTAGATGGACCTCTGCTAGTCACATGTTTGTTGTGAGTAACATCCCTACTTTTCATGCACTTCCGAGGCTCTTCGTGTATAAAATCATCTGCCGACTGAGTTTGTCAGCTAACGCGGTTGTTAGAGCTCTGTCATCTTTAACTTACAGCGACATGAGGTACTCCTCAGTCCTTTTTAAACATTGGAACAACTGCCTATATGGGTTGTAATTAGAATGCGTTTTTACTATGATTTTATTCTTGTTATGGACATTTCCCATGTCTGAAATAAAGTTTGAATGAATGAATTTTAGACAACGTTATTTTTATCCTGAAAGCTTCAGCCACAGTTCAGTTAGCACGCTAACCAACTGGTTGCCAAAGTTTGGGTCTTGTCCCTGTTATGGATCACGAAACACCAAGTAATGGTCCTGAGAGCATCTCCAGAACTCATAGTAAATGTAAAAATCATCGCTAATGGCATTTCTTTCTCATAATTATCACATTTGACACAAATGAAATAATTTAACCAACAGCTGTTGAGACTGTTCCTGTTCCTGGTTAAGTATTTCATAAACAGTGTTCGTATAATCGTCATTAAATGCTACCAACAGTGGGACGCCACGGCATCGGTTATTTTCTGGGTCACACGTTTGGAAACCACTGCTCTAAACAACTAAAGTCTTTTTTCTAAATAAACTGATTAATAAAATCACAAAAAGGCAGTCCAGAGAAAATCTCCACACGTCAAATATAATGTAAAAATGGTTGACAATGGCCCTTATTCTTTATCATTGTTATTAGAAACAATAACCCCCCCCCAGCAAAACTAAACAACCAGCAAAGACAGCCTCCAACAGAAATAAAGCAGGATTTCTCTCTTCACCCCGAGCACGACCACACAGCCGTCTCTCTTTCCTCCCCCAGGGTATCTGCAGGTTTAAGAGAGCCAAATTTAAGACTTTTTAAGACCTTTTTTAAGGCCACTTTGACCAAATTTAAGCTATTTTTTTAAATTTAATTTAAGCTATAATTTCCAGCTATTGCCTGGAACCGGTGCTAGCCACGTCGCAAACGTGGGATTGACCATCCAGTTACCATTAAACCTGCACTTCCCCATGGCGCAAGCTCCCACTAGCTTAACCAGCTAATGTGCTCATCTAAAAGTAGCCCCCTTTCACAACCAACTGAATGTATACAGTTCCACTTACGCCAACACCGTACACAAAAACGCTGAACACTAACTAAAAATTCACAAAAATTTTATAGAAATAAAAATATCTTGTTTATTGGGTCTTTGGTCATTTAAGACATTTGGAAACTGCATTTAAGGATTATTTGTCATTTTTAAGGATTTTTAAGGCCTTAAATTTGGAAAAGCTAATTTAAGACTTTTTAAGACTTTTTAAGGACCCGCGGATACCCTGTCCCCCTAACAAAGGAGCGCCAACACACCTGGCTGATGTCTCTCACCTGATTGTAGCATTTGTGATTCTGCCGCAGCCAGAAGTCCCACATTCACATGAGATGAACAAGTGAAGTTAAGTGAGTCAACACCGCTGATTTCCTTGCTGCTAATGCGATTTCACAACATGTTGCCTTCAAAATGGCATCAACCAAACCAACATGAGCCAGAAATCTCAAAGTCACTCAGAATGTGGAGTTTGGGGAAAGCTCCTGAACCGAATACCTGACCTGGACCTTTTCATGTCCACCACCGTGTTTTGTCCGCCAGTCGTCTCACATGTTGCTACTCGCTGTGCAGGACAACACGCGTCCTTTATCTTCCTGTGGTGGGTGTAATATATGCACTCCGTCCCACTATTATAATCAAAACTATTGAATCACACGCACTAGAAATGGCGTCTCAGTTTGTAATTACTGCACTCCTCTGAGCTCATTTCTGAAGAAGGTGTGAACTGTTTTGACATGTTCTCATGAAGCACATGATGTGCTTCCATCTCATCCTTACGATAAACACCACATTATACCAGAGGGATCATAAATAAGAAGAATTCTGTTGATTACAGCATTCAAGACTCTTTTTTTCATATTCAAGGGTCGGTCTGCAAAAACCACAAAGAAATGAGTCATCCATTGTAAATGGGATGTTCTCTGCAGAGGCTTTTCAGACCAAATTCTCAAACATCTTCCCTTAAATGATGCACGCACAGATGCTGAAACAACCTAGATTCTTCAAATGTATCATTAATAATAATAATAATCTCTGAGCATTTTCAAAAGGCTATTTGACATGCTTCAGCATCGAACTCTTACCCCTTCCTGTTTGGAGAAGAGACTGAGACAGATGTTCAGATTGGAGGCGGTGTCGCTGGACAGCTCACAGATTTCCTGCATTTTCTCCACTATGGGTGATGGGAATCCTGTTCGAAGGATAAAAAAAACAAAAAACAAGTGAGTCCTACGAATAAGAGCCAAAAAAAGCTCAAAAAGCAGATGGTGCAAGAGTGTTTCTTTACATTTGCATCAAGTGTTCTCATATTTTCTTAAATAGCAGTAAAATTAGTATTGAATTAGTTAAAAACTAAAGATAGAACATGAATAATGAGTAGAGAAGCTCAGGCGGTTCCGCGGAGGTGAGCAGCCGTTTGAGCTTGATGGGGCGGTCTCTTCTCACATGAAACTGGCCCCATCTCTGAGAGGTCGCTCAAAGGTTTAATAAGAATAAAAATGATGTGACCTCCATGCTCTGGCCTTTACAGTCACCTCTCTTAACCTCGCTTAACATCGCTGGAAGATTTGATTCCAAATGGAATTTCTTGACCACATCAGAAAATTTCTCCATCTGATCTCATTCCAGATGTGTTTCTGCATCACATTCTCACTCCCTTCTGTGCACAGTAGCTCAGCTCAGCACTAATTCACATTGATTTGTCGCCCTTTTGCAAACAACACTGTAAACTGAGATTTAAAAAAAACAAACAAACTGAAAAAATAAAACTTAAATGACAACAAAATGGCAGGTTTTACCTTCTGACAGGCCGTCATTTTTCAGCATGGACAGGAATGCGGACACCTCCTTCTCCAGCTTCTTCTGGCTGACCTCTGCTGCCTGGTAAACCACAGAGGGAGAGACGTGAGGGAGATGCAGATGAGCTGAATGCAGAGCAGGGCTTCTGACACGGGAAAGAAAGAAACACTGCATGCCATTGTGTCAGGATGCTCATTAGCTTTTTTTTCTAATTTACAGCCACCTGCAGTGAGTCTGTCAGCTCCCCAAGGGACATCCTTCCTCCCTCCTCCTCCTCGCTGTCCCCCACACTGCCCTGCTCGGGGGGGCAGTAGTGTGTGCTGTAAGCCGAGTGCTCCTCCAGCATGTCCAGCCACATCTGAAAAGGACAAAAAAACAACAAAAACATTACTTATATTGCTTTCATTTCTTCTTTCAGTGACAGTCGACCAATAATTTATTCATCTGAATAAATTCCCAACATTCCTAGGAGGGATACGGATCACATCTTGTCTTTCAGGTATAGTTTCAACTAAGATCACCTTATGTCAAGAAATAATAGCACTACAATAATGGAAATATATATATATATAAATCAGCTAGAACTTTGAGTTGTATTTTTGCTCAAAATCAACAAAAAGGTTTTATTTGTGTGTGTTTTTTAAGTAAATGGCTTCGGTTGCCATCTTTAAACTTCTAAATGTTTATCCGTTGTAGATAAACATCCAATGACGACTTCCAGAGAGCCTAATAAAAATATTGTTTTTAAAGTTCAGTTGTTCATTAAATAACTTTTAAACTAATACACACAGGCAAAAACATTAGCACCCACCTTTAGTCTTTTGTTAGCGGCAGTATAAAAAAAGCTGTTTCTATCCTCAGTTTGAGAGATTTTGAAATCCTATAATAAATACTTTTCAAGGTCACTTCACACAAAACACGTAATAAAATACAATAAAACAATAATAAAACCCAAAGAAGAAAAAACAAAGAGAGAAACAGTTCAATAAAATCAGAGGTTGTAGGCAGATTTAAACATGTGTGTTTTGAGTTTTGTTTTGAAAAGGGTAAAACTGTCGACGTTCCTGATGTCTGGGGGAAGTGAGTTCCAGAGTCGAGGAGCAGAGCGGCTGAAAGCTCTGCTCCCCATGGTAGCGAGACGGGCAGAGGGAACCGCAAGATGGATGGAAGAAGAAGATCTGAGTGAACGGGACGGGGTGTGAATACTTATAAGGTCTGAGATATATGGAGGAGAGAGGTTGTGGATTGCTTTGAAGGTATGAAGGAGAATTTTGAAGATGGACCTGAATTTAACTGGGAGCCAGTGAAGCTGCCGGAGAACCGGGGTGATGTGGTGAAAGGAAGGGGTTCTGGTGATAATACGGGCTGCTGAATTCTGGACCAGTTGCAGTTTATGAAGGAGTTTGTTGGGAAGACCATAAAGAAGTGAATTGCAATAGTCGATATGGGAGGTGACGAGGCTGTGGACGAGAATGGCGGCAGTGTGAGGGGTCAGTGAGGGACGGAGACGGTTTATGGAACGTAGATGGAAGTATGCTGACCGAATTAAGTTATTAATGTGAGCCTGAAAAGAAAGTGAGCTGTCGAGAATGACACCCAGACTCTTGACCTGAGGGGAGGGGGAGACTATGGTGCTGTCAATAGTTAAAGAAAAGCTGTCAGATGTTGAGAGGGTTGAGTTAGTGCCAACTAGAAGAAGTTCAGTTTTATTGCCGTTGAGTTTGAGGAAATTAGAGGTGAACCATGATTTGATTTCAGAGAGGCAGAGTGTAAGGGAGGGTGGTGGGAGAGTTGAGTTGGGCTTACTGGAAATGTAGAGCTGGGTGTCATCCGCAAAGCAATGAAACTGGATATTGAATTTGCGGAAGATTTTGCCGATAGGGAGGAGATATACTATGAAGAGGAGGGGCCCCAGGACAGAGCCCTGGGGCACACCTGACTTGACTGGGGAGGGTTCTGAGGTAAAGGATTTTAACTGGATGAACTGAGTGCGGCCAGTAAGGTAAGATTGAAACCAGCGGAGGGGGGTGTGAGTGATGCCTAAAGGTTGGTTTATGCTTGACGCGAGGGCCGCACGGCTCCGTGCGGAAAAGTTGCGTCATTTTGCATCTTTTTAACAACCACGCCCCTCCGCCGCGCCTCCGCACGGCCCAGAATTTCCGCAACGCGCACCTCGGAAAATTTCTAACCACGCGGACGGACGGACGCGGAAAAACATGGCGGACCGGCAAGAACTAGTACGGCAGAGGTTCGTAAATACAGACATTTGTATGATTCAGCTCTCAAAGATCACCGTGATCAACATGTTGTTAATAATTCTTGGAGAGAAATAGCTCACACTGTCGGAAAAGACGAGGACGCTGTTAAGAATGCTGAAATGCCGTGTTGTAAACAGTCATTTCTACTTCTACTATGGTGTAGTGTTGGATGCATGCTGTAGAGCTCCATGCTGCCCCCTACAGTTTGGGAGAATATTGGCTCACCGCAGAGACAAGCCGCATGAACCATAAACGCTGCGAGTTGTGAAGCGTGTTCCAGCCGCGAGCCGCATCACCGCGCGGAAAGTGAACGTGTCAAGCATAAACCAAGCTTAAGGAAGAGAGTCTATTAAGGAGGATGGGATGAGAAATGGTGTCAAAGGCCGCACTCAGATCGAGGAGAATAAGAATAGAGATTAAACCAGAATCAGCAGCAATGAGTAGGTCGTTAGTGATCTTGATGAGAGCTGTTTCTGTGCTGTGGTGGGGACGGAAGCCAGACTGAAACTGTTCATAAAGGTTATTGCGGGTGAGATGTGAATGGAGCTGAGATGCAACAGTTTTCTCAAGGACTTTGGAAATGAAGGGAAGATGGGAAATGGGACGGAGGTTATTGAAATCATTGGGATCTAAACCAGGTTTTTTTAGAATAGGGCTGACTGAAGCGGATTTGAATAGGGATGGGACCGTACCAGAGGATAGTGAGGAATGAATAATGGCTGTTATAAAAGGGAGCAGAGAAGAAAGGCACGATTTAACTAAAACAGTTGGAATAGGGTCCAGTTGACAGGTGGAAGGTTTGGATTTGGTGATGTAATCTAATATTTCTGAGGGATGGGGATAAGTAGAAAGAGGTATTGAATAGTTGGTAATTTCAAAAGTAGTCTGAGAAATTTTTAGGGCCAAGTGTCTAATTCACTGTTAGCATTGTTAGCTCAATGCTAGCCTCTTGCCTGCTTTACCCGATATTAGATAAAATAAAAAGATACCTGGCTTCTTAGGGGTACAAAAAATAACTTCTGGGTCACTCCTGTTAACCCTTTGGGCGCCAGAGTTTTTTCAACAAAATATTCAATTTTGACATGACTATTTCAAAAGGGTGTAGTGTGGAAAGGGCTAGAGATAAAGGTAAACATCTTCAGTAGGACCCAAAGTTTGTGTTGGGGGCAAATTTACTCATCTAATTTGCACTTTATAACATCATTAGGCTGCCGCATTGGAATGCATTATTTTTACAGATGTTCCTTCTTATTTTTAGAAATTAGACATTTTTATTTATATATGCACTTATAAAGCTCTTTAGAATGATATTTTTCATTGTTTATCTTTTATATTGTATTTTTTGTTGGCCTCACTCAAGAGAAATGCGTTTTAGCCATATTTGTTGGGTATCTTTGGGCTTGTACTGCATCATGGATGTCCTTCCCTTGAACATAATGATCATTTGATCCAAGGGAAAGAATATTTTCATGTTTATGTGGTACACTTTGACTTCCGTACATAATGAACACATTTGCCACGTCAATCTTTCTGGCTGGATGGGTGAATTTTTTCATCGGAAAGTCAATATTTTGCTTCATAATCGGAGTCAGTCATGACCAGACAAAGAGATCAGTCAACAAAGACCAGACCTGCTGGCAATTGTAAGTTTTATCCCTCTATCCCCCCTCTTCATGCTACACTCCACCTCTCAGGGGAGGCATTTTTCAAATTTTAAAAACTTTGAAACTTCCAATAAAAACACACCCATAAGTGTTGCTAAGCCTGCAGTTACACATCTCCACTATCTTCTGGTGTAAAGTAGTAACTTCACGAGGGATGTAGCTTTGGCTTGTTAAAGCCATCAATGATGATTGTCGCAATTTTGTGTCTTTGGCGCTTAAAGGGTTAACTGGCTTTGGTTTGCTTCTGATTTTTGCCACCCAGTGTCAAATTACAAATGCCACCCCATCGGCTCATGGATTGTAAACAAAGACAACGTCCCTCTTTGGCCATTTGAAAAGAGAAAAACTAACAACGCCCAGCTGGTTGGGAAAGGAACCCAGTGAGACCATCCTTTTAAACATGATTGAGACATTAAACAGTTTTATGATTTAAAATGGTAAAAATGGCCTGTATTTGATATAGCGCCTTCTTGAGTCCTGGGACCCCCCAAGGCGCTTTACAACACAATCAGTCATTCACCCATTCACACACACATTCACGCACTGATGGTGATGAGCTACGATGTAGCCACAGCTGCCCTGGGGCGCACTGACAGAGGCGAGGCTGCCGAGCACTGGCGCCACCGGTCCCTCCGACCACCACCAGCAGGCAACGTGGGTTAAGTGTCTTGCCCAAGGACACAGCGACAGCGACAGACTGAGCGGGGCTCGAACCTGCAACTTTCCAATTACGGAGCGAGTGCTTAACTCCTGTGCCACCGTCGCCCATTTATTCACTATATAATTCTTATTTATTGCACTTTTAAAGTTATTGAATATTTTCTGGCATTTTACAGCAGTGATGATTCACATATAACATTTCCCACAAAATGTAATTTTATTTTGCTAATAGGAACACGCATTATATTTTAGTTGGTTAAAATGTATTTTTTCACAACCTTAAAAAAAGTAAAGTTGAAATATTTTCCAAGATTTAAAGCACAGATGTACTCGCATGATACCTGGTTAATGTGAACAGGTAGTAGAATATTCATGTTCAACGAAGCTTGAATCACTGCTTTTACAGCCACACATGTTTTGTCAGACTCTGCATGAAAAACGTCCCCATTATGTTCATTTCTACCCCTGTATTTAATGAGGAACTCCACTAAAGCAGCTTTACGTGATTCCATGTAACAGAGGATCAGATGGCCCTCTTGTGCAAAAAATGGCAACTAGCTTGTTTTTCTTGTAGATTCCACTCATTTAAATGATTAACTGAGTTTTAGAGGTCTACAAGTGCAACGGCGAGGCTTTAGAGTTTATCGTCGATGCTGTGCCTGATGAAGATGATTAAAAAAAATTAAATTCTGTGACAAGTTGACGTGAGCTCTACAAAAATATGTTACGCTAAAGAGGCTCAAAATAATCAGTTCCTGAGTTTTTGCCTCAGGATGACTACTATACATTTACCACCTTCTTACAAACATGACATGATACTACAATGGCCTGATTAGGGAGAAACTCCTATTCTGGTCATCAACAGAAATGATGCTTTATAGTAAATGCTGACTGAACATGAAATTGGCTGAAATTGTACACTCAGTTTACAAAAAGTCATATTAAATGACTGAAATGAGATGGGGCAAGACCAACTCAACTATCTGGGATCAAGAAGTCAGCACGTCCCACAAATGACTACCGTATTTTCCGGACTATAAGCCGCTACTTTTTTCCCACGCTTTGAACCATGCGGCTTATAATGAGGTGCGGCTTTACTGAAGAGTTTCCTCCACCTGCCACTAGGGGGCGCTTTAGCAGAAAGTGAAACAAGTGGAAGTCAAAAGTGGAAATCGCAGAAAGTGCTCATTTTAATTTAGCACATGCAAGCAGCCAGCACCACGAAGAATTTTTTTCATATCCATACCCCCTCATCATGGTAACTGCACGTATGAGTTCATATGATGCCACATTTAAGTTGAAGGCCATCGATCTGGCAGTGAAGGAGGGAAACAGTGCTGCCGCACGTAAGCTTGGCATGAATGAATCCATGGTTCGGCGCTGGAGACGGCAGCGGGAAGAACTCATTCAAGCCAGCTTCACCCGGGGATGATGACAGCAACACGGACAGCGACACTGACATCGACACAGAAAAGGTATGTGACGAAGCTCTTCTGAGGCTGTTCAACTCCGACACTGAAGAAGAGGACTTTAATGGCTTTAGTGCGCAGGAGGAAGATGAGAGCGAATGACTTCTTCTGGTAGGCAAGTGTGTTTTATTTACTAACCAGGCATGTTTTGTGTGCAGTTTTTATTTTCTAACCATCCAGGGCTTATTAATGCTGTGTCAGCGCTGTTCTTTTCTTCTAAACATGCAAATGACCGGTAATAACGTGTCAGTGCTGTTTTTATTTTATAACCATCCAGAAATATGAATGCTATCAGTGCTGTTTTCTTTTCTACACTTGCAGGCACTTCACCCGTGTTTAAAATTTGTTTTGTTGAATTTAAACAACAAGGAAAAACCTCTGTGTAGCGTCTTTCTGTCTAATTATCTTATGGCCATACATGCGCTGTGCGCCAGAGACCTGCATGTGGCTGCTGCGCCACGGCTTGTATTTGAGTGCAGCGTGTGTGTGTAGAAAACCTTTTATTTTTGTTGGTGCGGCTTATATTGAGGTGCGCTCTATAGTCCTGAAATTATGGTACTCTCCATTTTTAAATTGTCTTAAGCAAAAACGGAAACAAGGAAGACTGGTTTCATCAGCTGGTAAGTAGAGATGTAGCCAGACCCAGACCAGTGCTTTTACAGATCTACATTCATCAACTGAGGCAAAAATTAAAGATTCAAATCTTGTGGCAAAAATGTCAAACTAAAGGAGGACCCATGAGTTTTTAGGGAGCTCTTAAATAAGATTTGTGATTCCTAGACAGAACAGTTCAGGAGTGATGAATTCCAAAGCTCTTGGCTTCATTTGTCACATTTTATGTCCATAGAGCTCCGGATGTCACGTGACTCTCCGAGAGTAGACACCATGTTGGCAGGCAACAAAGGTAAGCACAATGAACAGGATCGGCTTGGATTTTACTCCGTCGGAGTTTACTTCACACTTTAAATACGAAGAAATCGTTTTATATAGTCAGAAGTTAAATAGATTAAACATCTCCGACCCTTACCGTGCCCCTGGGATACTTTTTAAAAATGCCAGAAGCTGTCGGAGCGGACCTGGCCAGGGAACGCCTTGGGATTCCCCCGGAGGAGCTGGCTCAGGCGGCTGGGGAGAGAGAAGTCTGGGACTCTCGACGCTACTGCCCCCGCAACCCGACTCTGGATAAGCGGATGAAAATGGTTGGATGGATGGACAAATAACAGATTTACATGTGGGAAGTTTAAATAGAGTGCTGTGCTGTTTGAATGTATAAACTGAACGCCAAGAGAAATCACTAGTCTGATTTTTTTTCCGTGAATAAAATAAATATGTCAGTCAGGAGCGTCTCAGGATCTGTCTGAGATCTGTCTCGGTGAGACAGATAATAGCAATCCAAAGTGCTTTTTATGTGTGATCTGACAATTGATCAACCATTGCTTAAAAATTAAATACAGCTTAGCCGGTTAATGGCTGTGATCATAAAACACGTAAACGGCAGCACGCAGAACTCACGAGGCAACGTTTTACGTGACGTTTACTTGTTGCTATGAGTAATAAGACAGAAAAAGCCACGCCAAAATAAGTTTAGGACGCCCACTAAGAATCGTAATAAAAGCATTTAAAATAAATACCATACACAGTTGAGGAAACGTTGGTTTAAGTACCTGATATGAAGCGGTCGCTGCATAAGCGAAAACCTTTACTCTCGGGATCCCACAGTTTCATTTTAGCCCGGTCACTAGCGCGTTTTATTGCAATGATCCATCGTTTGCGGCGTTCTGGATCTTTGGCAATCCTTCCTTATGTCGTCCGCATCTGTTCTGCATCCTGGGGCACAACAGGAATCTACCATATTTCCCGTTTGATTGAGTTTTCTGACAATAACAAATAGTCCAGCTGCGGGCTTCTGCCTGCCAAGATGGCGCCATTTCGATTTGAACTGTTGCATGCCGGGAGAAGCGACGTCAACTCCCGGAGCTCTATAAACAGATTCTTTACTCAATCGATGCTGGAGAGCACAGCTGGTTCTGAGGAACATTTTAGACATCAGAGACGAAGCCTAAAAAGGTCTTACTGATTACATCAGTTTGTCCTGATTGGTTAGGAAATAACTAAAACTTTTTATATGTTTGAAAGAGAATCGTTTTTGAATGAAAACTTACTTTTCTAGTATCATCGGGGTCAGAATCAGGTGAAACCTTGAAGTGATGGATGCTGTCGTCAAAGCACTTGAGAGTAAAACGGCAATTATCTTTGGCTCGTATCTGGAGAGGATAGAGGCAAAATAATTGTCTGCTTCTGCAAAATGTAAACAAAAACAGATACATCAAAGAGTCAAAGACAAAAATGAGATCCTGTATCTGCAACTTACCAAACAGTGAGAGTTAGTGAGGGACTTGCAGCCCTGCCTTTTGACATTTGTAGCTGCGTCAGACCTTCGTTTGTCAGAGACAGAAATCAGCTCTTTTCTCTCAACAGAACACCAAACATTTAATTTAATCTGACACGCATGTGCATTTTATTACATGATATCTCTTCCACATGTCACATTCAAGGCACTTACTGTTTAGAGTACCAGGATAAAACTCCGTCCTGCAAAACGACCCAGTATGAGCGCCAACCAAAAAACCTGGAGCTCTGTGGGTCCAAACAGAAGATGAAAACAAACAGTTGAACTGATTTTCTGACAAAAATGCATCAGTGGACATATGAGGAGAAAAGCTTCAGTCAATCATAAAGTCATACCTGCAGAGACGTGGAAGTCACTTGGACTCAAATTCAAGGCAGGTTTTGATGACATGATGAAAACACAAAATACTTAAACACCAATGACTAGTGGCTTACTAATACTTCGGTCTCAATTTGTTAGCTGTATTTAATTCCAGCTAGTTTACATAACAGTAGCTCTGGTTTGGGCCATCTGAAAACAATAAGTGCAATCAGGGGCTGTGAACGAGCTGTTTCTCCCCTCCCTGAAAACACTCATCAGGTGATCTATGTCTCAACCATTGCAATCAGCTGCTGCATGAACACCTGCTTCCAACAAGTAGCACAGCATAAGTTTGGTGGCATAAAGCCGGGCGTACACTGTGCGACTTTTCCACTCGCAGCGTTCAGCTTCAGCTCAAACTGTACGACTTCCTCTCAGAGCAGATCTCACGAGCCAAGCGCTCACACTGCACGACCCAGTTCTCGGATGCGACCTGACTGCTCACACTGTACGTCTGGTAGCAACACGTTGGCCCTAAAAATATGCTTAACTGAAGTGTAAAGCTGGGCGTACACTGTGCGACTTTTTCACTTTTTTGAGCCGATTTTCTAGTCGTGCGAGAATCCACGACACCGGGGAGAGTTTTGCGCCGAGCGGTCGTGTAGTGTACAGGGGGTTACGAGAGGCGATTAACACCACGTGACCAGCTGCCGATCAGCAGTCGTGAGGTCGCACGGACTTCTGGCGTGCTTAATATTTCGCTCGTCCCTCGTGAGGGTATCGCACTGTTGAAGCGGCGCTGCGAGCAGCTGCGATCCAAAAAGTACCAGAACCGCTCACGGCGCATGCGCAATCCTGCATCATCACCGCTCCCCCGCTATTTCCCTAATAACACACGTTGTTCGTTTTTGTTTCTACACGTTTTTTTACTCACAAAGATTATCAAGAAGGCGTGTTTGTCGTGTTCATGTCAAATTAAACTGATCACAAAACACAGATTCACTTTCTTTATTTCGTTTTCCTCATCCAACCCCCATAAATCCCTGTGTGTCCTCCTGCAGCACTCCCGAAGGACAACAGGCAAAACAAGACAAACAAGTCTGACGTGTTGAGTAAAAACTGCTATTTTTAGCACATTTTTAGGGCCGACGTGTTGCTACCAGACGTACAGTGTGAGCAGTCAGGTCGCATGTGAGAACTGGGTCGTGCAGTGTGAGCACATGACTCGTGAGATCTGCTCTGCGAGGAAGTTACAGTTTGAGCTGAAGCTGAACACTGCGAGTGAAAAAGTCGCACAGTGTACGCCCGGCTTCAGTGGAAGCGTCAGCCCTTGTGTCTCAGCCCCTCCGGTGTGAAGACATACGTGTCTACCTGCGCGTGTCCACAGAGCAGGTGCACAGAGCAAACAAACTGGACCCAGACGCTGCTCCATCGACACCCAGCAAAATGTGCCATTATCCTATACCTGTGATCACCGGCTTCAGAGGAAGGTCACACACAGCAAACCGCTTTCACAACCTTCAAAACCTCTGCTTGCTAAAACCAACTCACCCCAAAGACACCCACCTGTCTATGGGACTTTGGAACCGCCAATCAGCTGTAAACAAAGCAGACTTCATTACTGCATATGCAAACCACCTGTCACTCGATGCACTGGCCCTCACTGAGACCTGGATCAAACCATGTGACAATGCTACCCCAACTGCTCTCTCAGTTAACCACACTTTCTCCCACACTTCTCGTGCATCTGGCCAAGGTGGTAGAGTGGGCATGTTAATTTCCAGCAAATGGATATACAGTCAGTTGCTACCCATCACAAAATATAACTCCTTTGAATACCATGCCATCCAGGTAACTGTACCGAAAAAATTATTTTTGGTTGTCATATATCGTCAACCAGGTCAACTCGTAGACTTTCTTGATGAACTCGATACCCTGCTCTCCTCCATTCCTGAGCATGACTGTCCCACAGTGGTCCTCGGAGACATGAATATTCACCTGGACAATCCCAGCTCATCAGGCTTCCTGTCACTAATGTCATCATTTGATCTAAAACTAGTACAAAGTCCTCCAACTCACAAAGCTGGAAAAGCACTTGACCTCATATTCACCAGAAACTGTGTCAAAGACACAATCTCTGTCACACCGCTGCATCTTTCTGATCATTACTTCATGCATTTCTGCACGACTCAACAAGGGAGGCCCACTGCTTCCTTTCTTCCTTCCTTCCTTCCTTCCTTGGTGCAATCTACTGTCATCTCCCACCTCGATTACTGCAACACCCTTCTAACTGGTCTTCCAGGCTGTACTGGGAGACCTCTTCAAATGGTCCAGAATGCAGCGGCGCGTCTGGTCTTCAATCAGCCAAAAAGAGCACACGTCCCCCCTCTGCTCATTGAGCTCCACTGGCTACCGCTAGCAGCACGCATCAAATTCAAATTGCTAACACTAGCATACAAAGTCCGAGATGGTACGGCTCCCATCTACCTGAATCCTCTTGCAAAGGCTTACGTCTCGGCCCGGCCGCTCCGGTCATCACAGGATGGTCGGCTAGCAGTGCCTACACCACGCTCAGGACAATCCAGACTCTTCTCATGCATCGTTCCACAAATGTGGAATGACCTACCAAGCACTACCAGAACAGGAGCTTCCTTTGCAATTTTCAAGAAACTCCTGAAGACCCTGCTCTTCAGAGAGCATCTTCTAAACTAGCACCCTCCCTGCACCCGTCCCCCCTCTCTACCGTCCACTCCTTGTTCCCTCCTCTCCATGACTGATGTCAAGTTGTTGTTGTTATTGTTGTTGTTGTTAGCCTCAAGGGCAACATGCCGGTTATCACTTGTAAGTCGCTGTGGACAAAAGCGTCTGCGAAATACATAAACATAAACACAACAAGCCTGAATTAACTCATGTGTAACTCATAATAGTGATATTAAGAGAGTCTGTCAGTCATGCCTTGGTGCACCAGGCAACGCTTCCTTTAAGCACATTTTTCAAACAGGAAGTGTGAGTAGATCAAGACTCTGGGATCCAGGTGATGCACTCTCTAGGAAAAAAATCTGTTGCTGGCCACACACACCCATTCCCCGCTCAAGCTGCTATAAGCTGAGAAGCTCCGACATCTGGGGAGGTAAGGTAGGAGTTGAGCCGCTGCTTCGCCAGCAGCAAGTGGTTCTATTTTACCTTCCTTGTTTGTGATGTCACAATCTGGAACTTTTCGAAACGGTTTGTTTTAGGCACATACTTCCTAAAACAGATTGTCCTTTTTACATTAAGTGGGTTTATAGAGGAAGAGACAAACATAGCAGCACAAAAAGGATGTAAAAAGTGAGATTTGTATGATACCGTAAATCCTCTAATACAGGCCTGGGCCTGTATTTGACTCAAACTAATCAAGCTCCAGGCCTTTATTGGAAGGAGGGCCAGAATTAGAGGCAGGTCTCAATTTCTATTTGAGCTAAATGAACTAATGGTTCGCTGGAGTTTTCGACAATTAAAATTGCGCCCACATTTTCAAAGTTAAACACATTTCTTTTAACAACGGTAGTTTCTGCTTCAGCCCTCTCCCCCCTCCCCCTGCTTCAGCCCTCTCCCCCCTCCCCCTGCACTGCGGCCGCTAACTCACTGATGCGCCTGCAGCCTCTCGGAGTTCCTGCTGCTCTAAACATTAAAATAATTATTTCATTTTCTGTTCCTCACTTCTGATTACCTTCAATGGTGTCTGTTTGTTGCAACCAACAGGTACAAAACTAACTTGTTTTTATTTGACTATTTTTCTGTCCTGCCTGTTTATTATCTTCCTGCATCTCCTCTCAGTCCTAAAGAGAAACTGCTACCTGGGTTCATATATATTCACCTCATGAGTTACCTTTGAACTGCAGTTCTAAAACATCTACCGACCGCTAAAACAGCGGAGTGCTCGCTGCTTGGTGGCCGCATCAGTGATCGGTGCGTCACCGGAGGACAAGGTGATGCGCCCCGCTCCACAGCAGCGAAACGCATCAGGCGCAAATAAAAGACAGAAAACATTAAAGGAAATGAGCCGACATGAACGATCGCGTGTCAGTACCGACGCTCTGGCACAGCGCGTTGCCCCCCCCGAGCGCAGGAGCTTGTCACCTGCTGACAGCAGGCTGCTGTCTTTTCCGAGGGCTGCATCTTGCCGGTCATTATCACGTGACAGCGACTAGTCGATGACAGGCATAAAAAGTCACTATAGTGAAGTCGACTAGTTCATACAACCCCTATTGCTCCCCAGTGTTCTGCAGCATAATCAGCACTTTCTCTTTGAACTTGATATCAAATTTTCGCCTCCTCTTCGTCTCCGCACGGTTAAAGTTACCCTCGCGGTCTATCACTGGCAAATCAAAAGTGAGACGATGACACAACCGCCCCCTGTACTTGCTTGTTACCACATTCCACCCGGCCACAATAAGAGACCGGCCAAAATATGAGACGCGGCCGTTAATTGAATACAGGCCTGTATTAGAGGATTTACGGTATATCCTCTTTAATTCTCATCACTCAGTTAAATTACAAATGTGGTCAAATGACTTGCTTAAGACTCAACATCCAAAGTTTCAGACTGGATTTAAAACTGGCATGCCTCGCCTTTGTACTCAAATCAGGCCTTGAATCGACTTGTAACTTGCAAAATAATGGTGCTTCATTATAGTTTCCCCAATCAGAAACATGCAGGATGCAAAAAATAGAAGTACATAAAGAAAAGCTGCAATTCACACTAAGAAATGGTTTGTTTTCTGTATTTAACTATTAGATAAACAAGAATGAAGCCAGCTTTGAGCATTTGTTAATTCCACCTAAACAGGAAGTTGTGACTGTTGATGAAGCACATCTATGTGGTAATTACAACTGGCCGTATGTTCAGCCGAGGGATAGCAGACGTTTTGTATGCAAGTATGGAAATGACTGAAAAAGAACAACAGGCCTGTGTTGACAGTAATGAAGGCATGTCATCCTGTGAAACAACGTGGGACTGATGTCTTCCATTAATGTTGGTATTTATCTTGTTAGCTAGATTAATTTCCTGTTGATTTTGTGTCTCTAAAGCTGCTATAATTAATATATTTGGATCTCATCAGGACTCACATGTGTCCAGGGTTGTTACAAGTAATGACTCCTGACAAGAAATACCTCGTGCCTCTGCAGTTTCCTTGTTTAGCTCACTATTTGGCTCTGAATCCTGCATTTTTTTATTTGCAGGAAACTAAAAATGCTTCATGCACCAGGTGCTTGGCAACAAAACAACACAGCAATTAGCTGTTAACGCAGAACAAAAGTATCAGAGGGGTCTAAAGGTAAAACAGAGCTAAAACAGCCGTCTCAAAGCAGGAGTCAAAGGCTCAGGAAATGATTTATCCTATTACACCGTGTTCTCCAAACCCACCACAGCAACGCAGGGCTGTGAGACAATTTCAGCCTATTATAGCAAAATTCAGCTTTCATCTGCCACTACACACTGGCTCAAACACTCTTTTCCATCACACACAATCTTTGGACAAGAGGGGGTGGCTGCTCACCTCTTAGCAACCTCTGCAAAATAACATTTTATACCCAATGACTTTACAAAGCAGAGTGAGTTCTTCATTTCAGCCGATCGTTTTACAGATGCTCGCTGTAAGAATCAGTGTTTTTGTTCTGGCTTCAGCTGACGCTACATGGGCCTTCACGGGCTGGTGGCAATAAGCTGTCGCTCCAGGTGGGAATTCTTAACTTTACATGATGAAGATTTAAGAGTGGGTCTTTCCTTTTGACATGTATTTCTTTTGTTTTTAAAAGAGACTTATTACATTGAAGGACTTGGTGTTTAAAAGTTTCTACAGGTTGTTCTCAGCCTTCTGATGTTACATTGTGATGAAGCAGCACAGTTTCAGCAACACTGTTAGCCTGGCAAGCCAGACTAAATAAATGTATTATTTAAGCCGGGCGGACACTGTGCGACTTTTCCACTCGCAGCGTTCAGCTTCAGCTCAAACTGTAACTTCCTCGCAGGGCAGATCTCACGAGTCATGCGCTCACACTGCACGACCCAGTTCTCTGATGCGACCTGACTGCTCACGCTGTACGTCTGGTAGCAACACGTCGGCCCTAAAAATGTGCTAAAAATAGCAGTTTTTACTCAACACGTCAGACTTTTTTGTCTTGTTTTGCCTGTTGTCCTTCGGGAGCGCTGCAGGAGGACACACAGGGATTTATGGGGGTTGGATGAGGAAAATGAAATAAAGAAAGTAAATCTGTGTTTTGTGATCAGTTTAATTTGACATGAACACGACAAACACGCTTTCTTGACAATCTTTGTGAGTAAAAAAACTGTAGAAACAAAAACGAACAGCGTGTGTTATCAGGGAAATAGCGGGGGAGCGGTGTTGATGCAGGATTACGCATGCGCCGTGAGCGGTTCTGATACTTTTTGGGTCGCAGCTGCTCGCAGCGCCGCTTCAACAGCGCGATACCCTCACGAGGGACGAGCGAAATATTAAACACGCCAGAAGTCCGTGCGACCTCACGACTGCTGATCGGCAGCTGGTCACGTGGTGTTAATCGCCTCTCGTAACCCCCTGTACACTACACGACCGCTCGGCGCAAAACTCGCCCCGGTGTCGTGGATTCTCGCACGACTGGAAAATCGGCTCAAAAAAGTGAAAAAGTCGCACAGTGTACGCCCGGCATTAGTCTGGCCACGCTCCATTGACGGCTCTCGGTTGTGGGGCGGGTTCCACCGTTGTCTTTCAAATGATCTCCGCATTCCACTGGACAATGAATGTGACATCCTCTTGTTTCACTCTGTTGCATCATCCCACCCACCAGGCATATAGAGTGCCCTGATTGGCCCACAAAGATTTGTTCACTAAGCAGATAGAGCACTATGATTGGCCCACCATTATGGACCAATCACAGCTCTTTATGTGTTTGAAACCCCTCTAGAGAGCTGTGATTGGCTAGCCAGAGTCCTGGTAGGGGCTGCGGAGGTTCCAGTGGAGCGTGCCTAGACCATTCTTTGCAAAGCAAGAATTTGGTCTAGTTCACTAGGCTACCACACTGGCTGTGACCGTGAGCTAACGGAGAGTCAAGCATGAGGTCACTCAACATTTGATAAGGCATCAGTTAGAATTCTCACTCTATTGGTCTGTAGATGGAAACATCGTGATAGAGTGGATCAAGTTTAACATATTTTTGTTTCTAATATTCAGTAGTTTTTTGAAGTATTTCATTCATTTATGTATTTGTCTTTTTTCATCAATGTATTACCTTTTATTCTTTGTTTTCTTTGCTCTTGTGAATCTGATATTCTGCTGACACAAAAATGTCCCCATTGAGGGACAATAAAGGGATTTTATGTTCTGTTCTTTTCTATTCTATATATCAAAATATATAACAAAATGTAAAGCCTGTATCCCACTGGGCAACTAGTGTAAAGTTTCACAGAATCCACAGGCTTTAGTCTGCAGTAGTTGGCTAACTGCAATAAATAAAAAAATAAATTAAAAGCTATCAGCGTCAGTAGAAAAACATCTCATTTTTACTTGTAACTTCTCAGACTTTAATGGATTGCTTTTTCTTTGGGCCAAAGAACATAATTCCTGGACTTTACCTTCCAAAGGGGTCCTTCGTACTTCTTGACATGACGGGTCAAACCCTGCAGCGGACACAGAAGAGGAGCTTAGAAAACAAATCAACGATAGCTTTAGGAAAGCGACTATCTGCTGAGCACTCACTCGATGAACGACGCCTTCGAGACACTGCTTCATTGCTGAATCACTGGCCAGGTCAAAAACAGTCTGGCCTGTGAGTCACACACACACACACACACACACACACACACACACACACACACACACACACACACACACACACACCCACACCCACACCCACACCCACACACACACACACACACACACACACACACACACACACACACACACACAGAACAGGTTTACCACAACAGGGCACGTGCACACAAGTGGGAGAAAAAACGTTTTAGTGAAGTTTACAAGAAAACAATCCCAATATATGAAGAGAACTCTGAATTTCTGGTTAAATTGCAGCTAAAAATGTATATTAATTTTGAAAGCTTCTGTTATTTCTGTCTGGATACAGAAAAAGATGAAACTGATCAGAGCTGGCAGCGCTCTGCGTTTTCCTTTTTCCATTACAGTGGGGTCCAGTTATTTTACGGTTTCAGTTTTACAAGAAAGACTAATGATAGGGTCAGTTCATGCTCGACTTTTTTCCATTGTACTTTCAGACAAAACCTTCCAAATACCATTCGCAGCCACCAGCTGTGGCTGATGTATCTCACCGTTTTTGTTTTTAGCGTTCGGGTCAGCTCCACTCTTGAGCAGCTTCAGGGCGCACAGCCTCTGGCCTCGATAAGCAGCACAGTGCAGCGGAGTGTTACCCAGCAGATCTGTGCAGTTGATATCTGGAGGCTTCTTCCTGTTGAGCTACAGCGAACACAGACAAGAAAGCAACAGATAAAATGTTGTTAGCTCTGTATTATTCTGCTATGGAAAAAATGGTACAAATGGTAAAATAAAAACTAATTTAATTTAATTTTCTGCTTCTTTGAAGACAGATGGTGGTGCTATAAAAGCAGAGAAGAGCTGCTATGGTAGCCTGGAGGTCCATTCAGGGTAGGGTGACCAGATCCCAACAAGCCAAATGAGGGACAGTAACTTAATGCGGTACAATGTGAATGCAACAAGATTCAGTAAAAAATAAACTTCAATTTTGCCTTTTAGCTTTAACATCACTAATCTAGCACCACCAGAACTGCGGCTTCCTTTTCAATTTTCAAGAAACTCCTGAAGACCCTGCTCTTCAGAGAGCATCTTCTTAACTAGCACCTTGCCTGCACCCGTCCCCCCTCTCTACTGTCCACTCCTTGTTCCCTCCTCTCCATGACTGATGTCAATGTTGTTGTTGTTAATGTTGTTGTTAACCTCAAGGGCAAAATGCCGATTATCACTTGTAAGTCGCTTTGGACAAAAGCGTCTGCTAAATACATAAACATAATAAATATACATACAATTATTATTATTATTATTATGACATTTTTCATGTATTAATTGTATTCAAATTCAATTTGAACAAGCTAACAGCAAAAGCTTTACTATATCACAGTTCCTCTCTAGCTACCGCAGCTTAACTCAGGCTCTTTGGACCTTCAACAGTGAATAAGTTTAGCAAAAAGATGTCATGGTCTGCGTCTGTGTCTTTCCCCATGTGTCTCCTGATGTTCTCCATCCCTCTCTAGATTCCCCTTTTGTGTCTCATTGCGCCCTCATGTGTCCTTTGTCTGCATCTCATTTATGTGTCTTCTGTTTGTAGCCCTTCAGGTCATCCCCAGCCCCTCCAGTTGTAGCTCCAGCCTTTTTGTCCCCAGCTCCCTCCTGCTTTTCTTCATGTTCTCTTGGTCTCCCCACCATATTTTCATAGGTCTATTATTTCAGTTTTGTGTGTGTGTGTCCTTCTCAGCTAGGGGTGTGTGTGTGTGTGTGTGTGTATGTGTGCGTGTGTATGTGTGCGTGTGTGTGCGCGTGTGTGTCCTTCTCCAGCTGTGTGTGTGTTTGTGTGTCCTTCCCCAGTCAGGTCCAGTGTCCTCCCCTGCTCCTTCCTGCTCCTCCTCCCTGATTAGTTATCGCCTTCACCTGGTTCTCTCCCCACACACCTGCAACTCATCTGCCTCCCTTTATGCCCCAGTCTATAAAGCCCTGTCTGTTTCTCATTGTCTTGTCGGTCCATTGTTTGTAATTCTGTCAGTCTCGTCTTGGATTACTTGTGTTCTTAGTCTTCTCGTGTCTCAAGTATTTTTGGATCTCCAGATCGTTATCTGGACTTTGGATTTTGGCTTCCAGCTTTTGGACTTATTTTGTTCTCCTTAAAAATAAAGGATTTTTCTTATTCTTCATATCTGCCTCGTGTCATCCTGGGTACTGCATTTTGGGTCCTACCAACACCGCACCGCGACAAAAGGATTTTACACCACCAACTCATTTTAATAACATAGATAGGCCCACAAACAAAAAAGCTGAATTAAGCAGCTTTTCAGAGTTTTCAACGGATTATGTTCCTCAACCAAATTGACAGTGAAAGCACCAGTAACATTTTTAGGTCCATTTAAGTCTGTTTTTAATAAATTTTCCACTAAAATCATCAACCCATAGAAAAATAAAATCCTTTTTTCCCTTGATTCAGAAACAAATTTTTAAATGACAACAACTCTCTTATAGTAGATATTTAGGGGAGGAAAAAAACATCACTGACTTTAATCTCTGAAAACACTCAGATCTATTCTAATGATAGAGTTCCTTAGTTGGTTTTCTCTCCTCAAAGTTCTTAAAATAAGTAATAAAGGTTTCAGTTTAATCACTTGTTTTTTTTGCGTTAAAAGAGTTAGCTTGTATTTATCGGAAACAACACAACCCCAGCACCTTGTCTGTGTTAGAACCTCCTTTGGGTTTTAGCATGAGTCTATTAGATATAGCGCCTTCTAGGGTCCTGGAAGCCCCCAAACATTTTACAACACCAGTCATTCACCCATTCACACACACATTCACACCCTGGTGGTGATGAGCTACAACATAGCCACAGCTGTCCTGGCGCGCACCGACAGAGGCGGGTCTGCTGTAGGCGCCACCTGCCCCCCCCCCCCCCCCCCCGTCTCCTGTATGCTTCTCTGCCTGTGAGTAACCCGACTAGTTCTCTGAGTAGAATTAAACAGAGGACTAGTCTGGCCGGCCAGGCTACCAGAGAACATGTTTGGCTCAAAACTACATTGACAAGACACACAGCTCATGTGTTTTGCCTTTGTTCTGCCACCTTCACTTATGCTTACTTTATAAAACACCACAAGACAAAAGTGAGTTTAGCTTTTGGGAGGGATGACAGAGTAATTTAGAAGGTTTGAAGAGAGCAGTATGAAAAAGTCCTTTATCAATAGTTTTACTTTTGTTCATTACATTGTTTAAATGATTACTTAGGGCAAACATCATTAAATACAAATACATTAATTATTAATAATTGTCAACTTTAGTTTGTCCTCAGAAGGATTTGTGATTCAGAGGGTGTAGTCACCTTAACACGCCTGCGGGACAGTACAGGGGTTTCAACAGGTTGAGCGGGTTGTCCAGTAATCAGAAGGTTGCAGGTTTGATCCTGGCTCCGGACAGAGAATTCTGCTGTTGTGTCCTTGGGCAAGACACTTAATCCACCCCACATGCTGGTGGTGGTCGGAGCGACCGGTGGCGCCTGTGCTCGGCAGCCTCGCCCAGTGCACCCCAGGGCAGCTGTGGCTACATCGTAGCTCATCACCATCAGTGTAAAGCGTTCTGGAGTCCTTACTCTGAGAGGCGCTATACAAGTGCGGGTCATTTACCGTTTACATACTGCTTCTAACACAAACAAAAATGCTAAAGTCAGAAGGCTAACTGGTTTAATGGTACTGCTACTGGTACCAGGGATTAAAGCTGCTACCCAGTAACATCATTATACAATCGGGGAGTTAAAAGAGGTAAATCAAGGTCCCCAAGTCTAAACTTTTGTGTGTGCACAACAGCAACCAAAATCCCATTCTTGTAAAGCATCTGCAAATGATCTGACAAAACATGCAATAATCAGAACGCCATGGGTGTGGAGTCTGAGCCGCTCCGTCACAAAAACAACAAAATGTTTAGTTTTTGTAAGTTTGATTCATAAATAAGTTTTCCAAGAAAAGCCGATGATTCAACAAAATGGCAAAAAGGCCAAATTCCAGTTTCTTTGAGGAGAATTTGATTCAAACTGTATGTATTATTGCCCCGACGGCATAGTATTTTTTGTAAGTTTTTAAGCTTTTGTAGTAATTATTTCTGCCACGTACCAACTGAGACAGTGTCGATAGGTCTCCTTCCCGCGCAGATTCCAAAAGTTTCTCCTCCAGCTTCCTCTCTTCCGTCCTCTCAGCCGCTGAAGTGATTTACAGGAAGAACATTTAGCATATACATCACACAAATAGCTTGTATGAATGGATGTACAATAAGTCAACATTAGAATTGACAGCAAGCACGTTTCCATGGTAACTCTTTGATGGCGAGCCATTTATTTCCTCACCTTCCAGCATGCTTCTGATCTCTGCATTTTGAGTGACATCTTTGGGAATCTGTGCGGTCCCATTGATGACAGTAGCACATGCATCATAACGCAGCAGCAGCATGACAACCTCCTGATCAATATGTGATCGATTCATTTAGTGATTGATTTAGTGACTGACAGAATGAACAAATACATGCAAAAAAGTCCTGCATTGTCATCAAAGTGATGCAGAGCTTTAAAGAAAGTATTCTGTATGGGAACGCACCTTTCTGCCTGTGAAGGCAGCCTTGTGCAGCGGCGTATCTCCGATATTATTGGGCAAGTTTACGTTTGCGCCAGCCTGCGGGATGTGAAGTAACACATTTTATCTGCATGATCTTTTAGAAATTTCCATTTTCAGATGAAATGAAGAAAGAAAAAAAGAACTACCTTGAGAAGCTCCTCTACTACATCTTTGTGACCAAAATAACAAGCTAAGTGAAGAGGCGTCCATCCCAGGTTTGACTTACTCTTACCTGATAAAACAGAATGTAATCCACAGCGTTACAACAACACACACTGGTAATTCCCCTCTGAATCACACAAATACCTTTGCAGTCGATGTTAATCTGCGCCTCCCGCCTTGTCTTGGCCTCAAGGAGCCTTTGAATTCCCGGCAGATCTCCGTTCCGGGCGTACTGCAGGAACTGCTCCTCTGTCTCCAGCTCCTCCATCGACACCTGCAGGGTAAAACATTCAAGATGCTACTTTGATTTCATGAAAACAAATGTTTGCACTCTTTAATTCTGATGTAGCAGGACAGCATTAAAAAATCACATGATGCTGACAAGGACACATTACATGTTACACTGTAGTGTCACACTTTATAGCGTTACGACTGCATATTTAATTATGACCGATAAGATGTGATGATTCCATTGTAACGTCCAGCAATGGTCAGTTTTTAGGTGCTGTTTGACCATTCAACATCTGGTCAAAAAGGAGACACGAGACTGCACGTGTCCCCTTTAAATCAGCCTGCCTTCATCCCACCAGCCGGAGCTCAGAGCCTGCAGCTCTGAACACAGATAACGAAGTGTCAATAACAATGTTCCCCAAGGTTCAAGCTTGGACTTATCGTCCTACAGGATTCTTGATGCCTCCAAATAAGTGAACACTCACAGCCCGGGTAAGTTGCTAAATCAAAGAATGACTAAAACTAAAAAGAAAGAATATTTAAAATTAAATATGAACTTCTAAAATTTATAAGCTAGATAATCAGTAAATACATGTTTGTTTATTACTACTTATAATAATTATAATATAATGAAATGCTTTCATTAATCTGTACTCAATAACTGAAGGTTGAAATGAATGTTATGTTGTGATGACATTGACTGATTGCATGTTTATTTGACAAGGTCATCACCATTTGCACTCACACAAGAACAAGTAAGGTTAAGTTAAACCCATGACACATAAATAGACTTTACCCAGATCAGAGCTTCCCGATCAAAGAAGGCGTGTTTCTGAGGTTGTCTTGGTAACATTCCTCAACTCGTCAACCTCTGGTTGGCTACACAAATCATAACATGAGAACATTAAAACCAGATCACTCTGGTGATTCCTCAGTTCTAGAGAAAGCTTCAGACCGGCCATCTGAAGCAAAACCTCTTTAACCATCAAAGCTTTTGACACGTCGTCAACACCTTTCTGCACCTGCGAAGCTGATAAAGCAAACAGTTCCTGCAGAACAAGCTGACATTGTTTAGACTCCTTCAGAGTCCCAGACGCGCGGTTCCATCCATCCGTCGTGACCCGAGACATCTCTGGACTGGAGAAGTCGGTGCTGTGGTCAATCTACTGGACCTTCGGTGCCAGAGGTCATCTGACCTCTCTGACCTTCGAATCCACCAAGAGGGTCTCCATAACGGGTGAAGTAGACACACAGATAGTATCTGATGTGCTTTTGATAATAATCAACTTCATAGCTTAACGCAAACCAAATTCTTTTACATCCAGAACTCAGCTCTCCTAGATACGGAAGTTCTGACCAACACCTTTCACACACAGGTTCATACATCACATCTAGTTCCATCCACTCACAGTAAATGCTTAGTTAACCTGCCATGTTTTAATTGTTTGTAAAATAAATTCTTACTTTTATAAGCCGGACTCTTTTCTGAATCAAAACGAAGTGTGTACAATCCCCTGATGAAGCAAAAATCCTAGATCTTCTGATTAAACACCGTAAAGACCAAGCAGGGTTGATTTTCAATATTTAAATAGAGTATCACAGCTTATTGGTCATAAGTAGAGGTAATATACATCTTGAGCTCTTAAAGCACTCAATTTGCCAAACCCTACACCATTTAAATATGAAACATCAACCTGGTTGATCTTTGAATGTTTAACCAGAAGAGTTTAGGATTCTTCGCATATTCAGCGACCATAAAAATACTTCGTATTCATTTGGGCAGAGTCAAGTATATAGTTAAAAGGAATTTTATTCTTTTCTAAACTAATGATAATACATGACAAGCTATGAATAACGGCGTGATGGAGTGCATATGCGGTGATGGGATGCGAGTTGTAGGTGGTGTAAAGTAGATGTGTATCAGAACCTTCGTATCTGAAAGAGATTGGGAATTCTGGGTGTAAAATAATTTGTTGTCTGCTATAAACTAGAGAGTTGATTATTAATAAAACAACAACAGATGCAACCTGTTGTGTCTACAAACCCTGATCGGAGACCCCCCGGTCAGATCCGGAATGTCAGGAAGTCGAGGGACCTCAAGGCACTGAAGTTTGTAGAATAACCGCAGTACGACCAGTGTGGTCTAGAGATGTCTCCAGGTCACAACAGGCAGGAAGGTTCATCGTGTCTAAAATGAATGTGCTCTTAAGGAATCGTATGGCTGTGTCCGCTGGCAGTGTGCCAGCAGGTTTGACTGTGTGTCAAAAGAGATACCGGTAGGTGTCTCAAGAAGGCTGGTTCCGCATTGGCCACTTCGGAGTTCCGCTCGAAACAGACTACCTCGGAAAGTCACTCTAGTTTTAATAATCCACTTGTTATCATTTCTGCAAATCAGAATTTGACATGTTTGTAGTAGTGATGTGTCGGTCGCAAACGAACCGGCTCTAAGAGCCGACTCTTTGAAGTGAACGACGGGAGCCGGCTCGTCATTGGGAGCCGTCTCCTCCCCTCCCCCCTCCCCTTTTGCTTTGGTGAAAGCTACAGGCGATTGGTCAACATGTGTAACTGCGTGTCCAGACTGTCCACACACAGAGCAGTAGGGGTGGGGAAGAGGGAGGATCAGAATCAGACACACAGCAGAGCACATGCGGGCGGAGGGAGACGAGAGGGAATGAGGAGGAAAAAGGCGCGAGAGAGAGAGAGACAAAGAGAGAGAGACAAAGAGAGAGAGAGAGAGAGAGAGAGAGAGAGAGAGAGGAGTGTGACGAAGACGGTGAGAAAATGAGCGCCAGCAGTCGGAAAGTGGAGATTTCTGAAAGTGTTCAGTTATTAAATGCATAGAAATGATAAATATTTGATATATAGCATTTTTTTACATTAGTAAATTATTTTACATATAGTTTTGCATGATTTTGGTTATAAATGTACTCTACGCGACAGAAAATCTGAGGAGCCACTTGGGAGCCAAAAGAACCGACTCTCTAAAAAGAGCCGAAATTCCCATCACTAGTTTGTAGGCTTTACCAAACATCCCTCAGAAAAGCACACCTTCCAGAAACAAGCTGTTCTGTTCTGTGGATAAAGAATCTTTAAACTTTATGTGAGATGACCTTAGCCTTAATTTGCATCTAATGAACATTGTGTATGAGTGTAGATAATGATTACCTTGTTAAATCAAACAGTACTGATCATAAGACATAAATGGATCATTGTAAGAGCAATATTCATTTCAACTTCACTGAATTAGGCACAGATTATTCAAACATTTCATATAATATCTGGTTCATTCAACCACATGATTATTTAATGTATGAGTTGTAAAGTTCACTTCTTATTCAGAGTGTGGAATCCGGCAGTCTGAGATAAGAGGACAGCTTTTGTTTGGAGACCCAGTTTGACAATCTTGTCTTCATGGAATGTCAACAAGCACTGGAGAATCTTCTGGGTGTTAGAAGATAGAATAGAAAATCAACCTAGATAGGGGAATTGTTTCTGTAGACGACCGGTCACTATGTAGGTCAATATGTAGGTCACAATGGACCCTTTCTGGACAGTACAACACCCTGGTTTCAAGGCTGGTTTAAATGACTCAGATATTTTGAAATGTTTTCAGTGAAAAGTGTGTGAATATCTAACATCTGTTTTAGATAGCTCTTTGAACAGCTTCAGCTTGGAGAAGCGAGTGTAAGTTATGACTAGACAGGTGAGCTACTGCAAACTCTGAGAGAGGCCGGTTACAGTCCCTGTCTTAAAACAACTCTAAGAAGAAGCTGATGCAAGAAATCACAATGTAGCCATAGAAACATTACTTGGTATACATGTTGTGTGTGTGGATGTGTGTGTTGGTGTGTGAGTGTGTGTGTCTGCTCTGTCTTCTCGATCCCCAGTGAGTCGTGGAGGATGGCTGCTTATACTGAGCCAGGATCCTCTGGAGGTTTCTTCCTGTTAAAAGGGAGTTTTCCTCTCCACTGCCGTTGCATGCTTGCTTAGTATGAGGATTGCATCAAGTCACTGACACTAGTCAGTGACTTGATGCCATTTTCTGGGTTCCTTATATAGGAAACATTATTTCTGATTGGCTCTTATGAACTGACCTGTGCTAGACTGTTTACTATGTGAAGTGCCTTCAGGCGACCCTTGTCGTGATATGGTTACATTCTGATTTCTTAATAAATATTTTATTTAGTGAGAGATAAACTTTATTGTATTTATCCTAGTGGATCTATAATTAAACGGGTAAACTAGTAGTAGCACATCCAATGTCAAAAAAGTAAAATGTTATTATCAGGAAAGGGAGAATGATTAAATGGTTAGCAACAGTGTTCAAGCCGATGGCGCCCTCCATGAGGCCACCACAGCTCAGCAGAACATCATTGTAGCTTCTTCTGGGGAGAAAAACACTTAGAGAGAAAATAAAGTTAACAGCTGAAACAGCAGGAAATAATACAGTTAAAGAGCAGATTGTAGAAGAAAGTAGTAGAGTGTGAAAAGTGGTCAGTGTGTCCTCCAGCAGTCTAAGCCTATAGCAGCATAACTACAGAGATAACTCTGGATAACCTAGCCTTTTAGATGGAGGCATGTTGGAGGCAGGGCAAGGGAAAGCCGTCTTTACCGACTGTACACTCCACCTCCCTCTACTCCCCCACTTGTCCAGATTTAGGCTAACATCAGATTTTAACCATAGGCCCTATCAAATAAAAATGTTTTTGCAAATTGTAGAAGAAAGTAGTCGAGTGTGGAAAGTGGTCAGTATGTCCTCCAGCAGTCTAAGCCTATAGGAAGACAACTACAGAGATAACTCTGGATAACCACAAGAGAGGAGCCTGCTAACTAAAAGATCTGCCTCCCATCCTATTTTTAGATTTTCTAGGAACCACCAGTAAACCTGCAGTCTTAGTCCCTGTCCACACGTAGCCGGGGATCTGCCAAAACGTAGATATTTTTCTACGTTTTGGCCTGTCATCCACACGAAAACGGAGTTTTTTCACACGAAAACGGATCTTTTTAAAAACTCCGGCCAAAGTGAAGATCTGCGTTGGGTGTCTGCGTGTGGACGGACAAAACCGGAGTTTTAAGGTCCGCAACGTCACTTTCCGCGACAAAAAATGCTGACATCACGTGTGCGACCTGTGTTTACACTAGCCGACATCATGGATGCCGTCAGAGCTGCGCTGGCTTTATCAATTGTCCAAGCGCTTTCTGCTTGTTTGTTTTTGCAAGCGGAATTACTGCTCCTTGCGGAAGACCACAGACGAAGGACGAGGTTAAGAACGGCTATTGCCCGGCACCTGGCTTCTCCAAGTACTGCCGCCTACAGGTCTGGCATGTCCTTAACAACGTATTTATCCAGGTACGTGTGGACAGAGTTTTTGTTTTAAACGAGGTGGTGTGGATGCAAGTTTTTGGAGGGGCGGATATTCGTTTAAAAAAAACCCGGCTACGTGTGGACCATCGACATATGGTGTTGACTAGGCCTGAGAGCGAAGTGCTCGGTTAGGAACATATGGAACAATCAGATCACTGATGTATGATGGAGCTTGATTATTAAGAGCTTTATATGTGAGAAGAAGGATCTTAAAATCTATTCTGAATTTAAAAGGTAGCCAATGTAGGGAAGCTAAGACAGGAGAGATATGATCTCTCTTTTTAATTCTCATCAGATCTCTAGCTGCAGCATTTTGGACAAGCTGAAGACTTTTAACTACATTCTGTGGACTTCCTGAGAGTAATGAATTACAGTAATCCAGTCTTGATGTAATAAATGCATGAACTAGTTTTTCAGCATCACTCCTGGTGCAGTTTATCATACTGAATAATACACTATTGCAAAAACAACAAGAAAAGACCACTTAATGTCTATATGCAGCTCAGCAAAGGAATTTGCAGTCTAGATTTCTGAAATATTTATAATGCAACAAGATTTTACAAATAATAATTATGCATTGCATGCAAAATAAATGTATTTACATGTGTTGTTTCCTCTGAACTGTCTTTCAACCTTTCACATTATCTTGTGACCCTGCTAATGGCTGCATTCCTCTTGCATGGGGTGTTTTAATCTATGTAAAGTATTTTTAACTCAACTGACTCCTAATCTGAAAGGTTGCTCAAACATAGCTGTAGTCATGTAATGCTTAAGGGCTTTTAAATACACTTTTAGTTCTAAAGCTTTAATTTTAGGTGCACATATTTCAGAATAGTTTGAAAGTTCATCAACCCGTGAATTTCTGAAGCAGCTGTGAGGTGTCACAGCTTGATATTTGACTGTAGCTCACTTATCAACACTAAAAGTGCGACTTACAGATTTCCAGCGCAGAGGGGTTGAGATCCAGGACTCCAGTCAGACCTGCTGTGTGTCCACAGGGCCCTCAGTGAGCTGAATGGGATGTGTGAAGCCCCTCGGAGCCGTTTGCTCCTCCTGCTGCTGCCGCTCTACTGCAGCGAATTCAACGCGGCGCAAATCCACTGACTCATCACTCTCGCTCCCTCTCTCTATGTCTCACACACACTAACTCACACACTTCCACGTTATATCTGCAGCTGGCTCACACACGGAGAAATATGTACCTTTCTGACTCTCCTACTCTGCTGTTTACACACAGATCAGCTGATCTGCTCTCAGCGGAACTAGTCTGAGCTTTTCAAAATAAAAGAGCGACATGAACGATCTTAAGACTGTTCATTTAAAACCAACTTGTTGCATGCAAGTATAACTACAACAACGACATTTAGGCTGTCGATTATTTGTATGAATGTTGTGTTTATTGTCAGGTCACAAATATCGATATTAGCACTCGGAAGACAAAAAACAAACACGTAGCCTAGCTTTACTTTTGACCCGGAAGTAGTTTTACAATAAGAGGTTCATTCCAGGGTGGCAGCCCTCGTATTTAATTTACTCATACCTCCTAAACATTGACTGATTCATCTTTTATTTTCCAACGTTTATTTACATGATTTAATGGCGAATGTCGTCAACTCAGGGAATGACGAAAACCTGCAGGCTCAAGTAAGCCACATTTTATTACTCTATAATCCTCAAACAGTGAAAAGATCAGTATTAGTTGTGTTCAGCTCCGGTTAGCTGTAGTTTTTAGATATGGCCTGCAGAGAGCGTGTAAGTTAATGCAACAACAGGCGGCGTTCACTGGCTCAGACGGATTTGTCAATACTGGAGGCACACATCAGCCCACACCTAAAACACAACAGGGAGAGAAATAATGCTGAGCACTGACAAACAATCTGTAGGTTTCATTTGTGGAATCTTGTTGCACAATTTAAACTAAGCTAGTTCAAATAAAAGAACTGCTAAATGTAATTCTGTTCTGGAGATTTCTTCCCTAAACTTAAATACCAACGACATATTTTAAAGTGCCAGTTTGTATAAAATAAAAAGAAAATAAAGATATTTTTATTGATTAAATCATTTGGGAGACGTGCTTTTAGCTGCTAAAAGCTAAATTCACTAAAAGCAATAGTGATTTTTGGCCATTTTACAATTATATCTCAAAGTTGTCTGTTGTTTTGAAAGTTTCATGAACGGCCTTTGTTTGGAGAAATAGCAGTTACATACTTATTGTTAGCAATAATGGCATAATTTGTGTAAAGGAGGTTAAAGCTACTATAGCAAATTTAGAAAACAAGTTAGCTTAAAACATCTTTTTCTTGCCTCTCAATGTTTTAACATAGTATAGCTATAAATATATTGTGGAGAAAGTGGTTCTCTTGCCTTTGTCTAAAAACCTCTGCCAATAACACTTTTGACAGGAAATATTGGACCATCTGGTTGTCAGTTTCACTGAAACCCCGCACTTCCCAAGGTCCTCCATTTATTACGCACTCGCGTATTTAGCAACAGAACACCACTGGTGTGAGAGGTTCTCCGCTCAATAATATCAGAGAAGGAGAAATAGCCGGCTGCTACCGCTTCAACTTTAGGACAAACTACCAGAGTCCCAAAAAGAAAAACACAATTTGAAGTAGGGCCCGACCGATATGCTTTTTTTGGAACCGATATTGATACCGATATAAAACTTTAAAGAAAGGCCGATAGCAGATTTAATGGCAGATAAATCTCTCTCACAAAAAAAAAACAAAAACAAAAAAAAATTGTCTTAAGCTTAAACCCTTCATTCTCTGCCTTTTTGATGCTAACTTATTTCTCTGTTACGCACCAAGGAACTGTCTCAATAACTCACTAGGGTTTCCAAGCAATGCAAATAAGATTTATTTAGCAGGTCTCAAAAACAACAGAACACACAAACTCAGTCACAGCATAAATCTAACATTCAAGTTTTTTCCTGTAAACTGTGGTTTCCACAAATACATTCTAACTTGAAGGAATATTCCACCGCTCAGTAAAATTGTGTCTTACAAAACGTTTTTTCTGGCTTGGCTAACTCTGGGGAATCTAACAACACACACAAGTTTAGGGACAGAAGATCCCTATAAGAATATTAAAATAATAAAAATGCAGCAATAAATAAAACGTAATACTTGTGTTTTGTAACGAAGTAACACTCTGTGGAAGTTAACTTGGTGAACGTATTCACCCTGGACAGGAAATAATTGCACATAAGAAAAATAAATATGAATAAATAAATAAATAAATAAGTTCCAAAACAATAATTTGTGTTCAAAGTTCAAAGGAGTGGAGCCACACAACATGAGTTCATAAAGCTGGCGCCATCTGCTGGATAGATAGCGCAATAGCAGCCATAGCGGCCGTCTCTTTGGCCTATAGCCGATCCTGTTAATGACCCCAATATCGGCCGATATATCGGTCGGGCCCTAATTTGAAGTCACGGACAACAAAAGATTTTTGAACCTAGAGAACGGCAGCTGCTGTTTATCTCCAAAACCTGCTGCCTGAAGCTCAGCTCAGATGTGACTCACGTCTAGTTCCTGGAAATGGTGCACTGGTGTTTTTTGCATCTTCATTCATCTTACTTTATTTTGGACAAGTAAACAGTCAAATTATAAATATTTTAACTTTTTTGCATGAAGTTTTTTTTACATGTACCACTACTATCTGGCCTCTAAATACTACTAACCCATATAATCAGTACCTCATAACTCTTATTGTTGGGGTTTATGCTTTGATATATTCTTTCCTCATTGAGATCGAAGAAGTCGAGGCTTTGTCTTCTATCTATGGAGATGACTGGTGTGTGATTGATGAAGCGTCCAGAGTATTTTGCATCAAAATATCCAATGAGCTACAACTGACAGCGTGCTTGCAGGTACAGAAAAAAACAGAAAACAATCTTTCATATCAATCTCAAGTGCCCCTCCTTTCATTTACTTGTAAGGCACTTTATAATTTATTTTTCCTCATTGATCAGATAATTCTTCCAGCTGATTATCCATGCGCAGCTCCGCCCATCTATCAGATCAAGTAAGTCTATTTGCCTTTCAGATTTAATATGTGGGAGAGATCTTCTGATTTGAAAGAACAGCATCCCACTCAGAAACCCAGTGTTTGTTCTCGGCCTTTGTAGTGCAGCGTGGCTGCGTGGCGCAGAGAGAGCAAGATTGGCAAACAGCCTGGAAGACATCTACGTGTGAGTGCTTTTCATAATTTCTGACTTCACAAGGCAATACTGTGAGGAGATATTAGCCACAACAAAAGCTTTCATTATTCTTTCCACAGTGCAATAGCTCAGTAAAGCATGTCTCTCCGAGTCTCCACCCTCACATGCAACTATTTAATTTTCAACAGGGAGCATGCAGGGGAGAGCATCCTCTACCTGTGGGTGGAAAAAATCCGAGACTTTCTTGTGGAGAAATCCGACAGCTCAGAAACAGGTGAGGAGTGAAATTCATGCTCGAGGCCACGCTTCCATGAGTTCACAAAACATAAATGTTTCTCCGTAGAGACCTTCACACCACTGTGGCCGTATACATTTTCACTGAAAAGGCTTATTTCACTGCAGATATTTTTACTTGAAGAGTAGAGATGTATTAAAAAGCAGGGATGGACAATATATCTGCGTCAATATCGGTATCGGCTGATGTTAGTAATTTTTTAACATATCGGTATCAGTTTGATTAATAAAAATGGGCCGATATTATCAACCGATATTTTTTCCATCTTGTCTCTATTTGTTTATTTGTTTCAGAGGGTGAGGGGGGTGATGTGCATTTGTTTAGTCATGTGATTGTAATCATCTCAGAAGCGTGAATGTGTGTAGTCTGTGTACATAATAACGTAAATTCAGCTTTAATCATTTTCATTCTATACAAAATCTCCTGATTTTAGAAATCAGTATATTGGTATCGGCAAATATCGGTTATCAGCCATAACGGTGATCTTAATATCGGTATCGGCCCAACAATTTCATGTCGGTGCATCACTAATAAAAGCAAGTAAACTCTATATCAACTTATTTAGCTGATAAACTATATAATTGAGTGTCAAGTAGTGCTGTAGACACACATAGTCATTATTTAGACAGTTTTAGTGCATCTTATTTAAATAAAAAAACAATCCTGCCTAAAACCATCATTGCTACACCCTCTTTTGGGAAGAACTATACACTACATTGAATTTGAGTCAGCCATTGCTGTTGGCTTAGAGGTATCCAATGATGTTGCAGGCACTGCATTATGTGGCTGCACTGCACTGCAGCCGAGTCTTGGCCACGCCTCCAGCTGGCTTGGCCACTCACAATCTAATACGAAACTATACGGCTTAGAGCTGCTTGCCTCTCTCCTCATTCTTCTGCCTCAGCATTGATCTTTCAGTCTGCCAGGCGACACCTTATTTTGGTAAATTTGTATTAAACAGGTAGTGTGGGTGGAGTAAAACTCCGGAAGGAGGGTGACTTGCTCTTTAACTAGGGCTGTATCCTATTTTGAGCAAACTGTGTCGTCGACATTTATCTGGTCTGAACAAGCAGAATGCCCAAATGCAGAAGTGCATGCAGCGCTCATTCACACCCTTGTGCGTCCCTTACTCATTCAAGTCAAATGCATAAAGTCAATAATTCTATCATGAAATAAGTCTCAACTTTCTTGTAAGTTTTTCTGTTCAAATAATTCTACGTTTCTGCATTTTAACAAATATTTAGGCCTTTTATAGGTAAATTATAAGGGTGTAACGGTACGCTTATAAACTTGGTTTGGACCGTACCTTGGTCACCCCTGAATTTGGACATAGATGCTTGTGTTACTAGTTAATGGCTAATGTGGGCAACACTGTTGACATGTGAAAATTTGATATGCATCTGTGTTGAACAGACCGTTGCCTACTGAAAAATACGAATGCATGTACCATTACACCCCTAGAAAACTACATTTTTAACTATATAGAGGCCACAGCTGCCCTGGGGCAGTCTGGCAGAGGTGAGACAGAGGTGAGATAGTCCATTTAGGACCATCAGCCCCCTCTGACCACCAATATAGGAAGGGCAGATGAAGTAGGGTGACTGTGGTTTGGTTTCTGAAAAAAAGCGGACATTTGGTCTGCTCAATTACCTGCGCCTGTTGGTGACATCACACTACTGCATCAGTACTCGGACAAACTACATTGCCGCCCATTTTTTCCCGGTTAAGCACGAAAGTCAATATCAGACTCTACCAATAAAATGCCTTTCTAAACAATTAATTGGCACATTTTTATATAATTAACACCCCAGGATTTTTGCATAAATGTCAGTTCTTTTGTTTACTTCCTGCTTGTTCAATGAAGTGAATTGAAAGGTTACCCTATTTTCCAAGAATTCGCCAAAACCTATATTTCCCATGTCAGGAAATGAAGTCGAGTATATAGATAATTTGGTTTAGTAATAGTGCAGTCTGGGATTCTTTATTGGACCAAATATCTGTTTAAAATTTCAGATGTGCAGCAGTAGGTCAGGAGGTAGAGCGGGTTGTACAGTTATCGGAAGTTAGTAGGTTCAATCCCGCCTCTCGCCAGAGAATGATGCTGTTGTGTCCTTGGGCAAGACACTTAACCCACCTTGCATGCTGATGGTCAGAGGGACCAGTGGCACCAGTGTTTGCTAGTCTCGCTTCTGTCAGTGCGCCCCAGGGCAGCTTTAGCTACTTTATAGCTCACCATCACCAGTGTGTGAATTTGTGTGTGAATGGGTGAATAACGTTGGTTACGTTTTGTAACCCCAGATTGTATGAGTATGTCGTAGCCCTTTAAGCCATCCCCTATTGGATTAATCCCATCCCTTTAACCAGTCATTGAAGAGCTTTTATGTACGCCCGCCTCCTAGGCGGGTCCTGGCCCCTAAAAAGGGCACAGCGAGCATAGCTCGTCTCCATAAGTCTTATTAATAATAATAATAATAATGCATTGAACTTATATAGCGCTTTTCTAGACCCCCAAAGACGCTTTCACACACTCTCACATTCACACACTGCTAGTGATGGTAAGCTACTTGTAGCCACAGCCGCCCTGGGGAGGTCTGACAGAGGCGAGGCTGCCATCTGGCGCCGTCGGCCCCTCTGACCACCACTAACACAGACAAGTTGGGTGAAGTGTCTTGCCCAAGGACACAACAGCAGGATACCCCTGGCGGGAGCTGGAATCGAACCCATGACCCTCCGATCATGAGGCAACCCGCTCTACCACCTGAGCTACTGCTGCCCCAAAGAACCAGCGGGGCCAAGATGCTTAAAGGGCTACGCCATACTCACAGAATCTGGGGTTACAAAACGTAACCAACGTTCTATTTCATATAGCTCCACCCTTTAAGCCATTGCCTATTGGATTAAAGGTGGAGCCAGATATAGTCAACGCCACTCTGGTTCAGAACTAAACCTGAGCTGACTCAGAGGCCCCACCTAATAAACCTCTACAGCTGCCGGCGGGCGTAAACATGAGAGAACAGCTGGAGGACATGATGACAGCATATGATCAGCACATAGCTGATGAGAATCAACCCCAAGGTTGACTAGCAACCGGTGGGAGAGAAACTGTCACATCCAAGAGGACACAGTGTGACATAATGTAAGGACATGTCAACGAGGGTGTTTAAGTCACAAGGATGACAAAAACAAAACTGCAAGGGTTCTGATCAGAACTGTCAGCGACAGCTGTGATTAAGCTGAACTGTACATTAGCACCACATCAGTAACGAGGCTGGTGGACACACCTCTGAGGTAAAACAGGTGGTGAAACCCATGAAGCAGCCATGTCTGCTACAGACATTCAAGCTCGCAATGCAACAGAGGAAGAAACCGCCTGATTATAATGTACTTTTAATCTGTCTGGAGCGTCCAAGCCAGATGAAGCATAGGCACTTGTGATGACGTCACACAGCCAATGTGAAAGATGCTGAGATGACAGAGCTTGCCCTTTGGAACAATCACTGTAGTGAACAAGCAGCCACTGTGGAGTGCGCAGCTGAGCTGTGCGAGAGACTTAAGAGTCTGAGTGCACGCACTGGGCATAGCAGGAGGGATGCAGCATCTCACTCTGACACATGAGGGGAAGGAAAACCCCACCAGAGAAATGGTTCAGGACCTGAAAGAGTCTGTGATGCTCTTTCGGGTAGAACGCTGGGTTTGGGTCAGAGAACAGCTGTACACCCTTCATTCCAGTTCCTGAGACAAGATGGCAAGACAGAGAGAGAAGTTAGGTTACTAATTCTCTTAAATGACGTCAAGTCCAGCAACAATGCGGTTTTGAGGAACAGAACCTTTATTGGAACCTGGTCCAAAGGTTCAAAGGAAGCCTGGGACAGCCCGTGCAGAACCACAGCCAGATGGCAGTGCAGAGTCACACATTCGTGTGTCAGCGTCTGTACGAAAGACAGAATGCTGGCTAATGGCCAGGAGAGGAGATCAAGTTCACTCCTCACACAAGCGCTGAAACGCAGCCCATTTAGCAGAGTATGAGACCACTGAGGATGAAGTGCGAGCATTCTGAATGGTCTGGATCATGTCGGGTGATAGACCAAGAGTCACTGAGTGTAACCGTTTAGCAATCAAACCCACAAATGTAGATTCAGGATTCGTGGGTGTCTGATGGCTCCACCTGCTTGCAGGAGCACATCCTCCCTCCAAAACAGGCGCCACAGATGCCCCGTCACCAACAGCTGCAGTTCCAAAGACCAAGGAGCTGTGCTGTGTTGAGTGGCTACCAGAACAATATACCTGCCCAATTCATACCAAGAGGCTGGGAATTAGCGGAACCGGGGAACAATGTAAAGTAGGAGCCTGAGCCATGATTCGTAGGCTAAAGTGTTCATACCAAATGAGAGCCAATCTTGTGAGCTCAAAGAGAACCACAGTCTGCAGAGTGTGTTCTCGCAAGACGCAAGCAGATTCACAACCGCATTCCCAAAGCTCCCAAAATGAGACACGAGATCGGGGTGGTGATGACGCCACTCCAGATGATGTGGGCCACATCTGGACATGATGTATGCTTCAACATTCAAAATGCCCAGGCTGCAAACCGTTTTCATAGACAGAAGTTGTGTCTGCGCCCAGCACGGAAGGGTTTTGGCTACCCACAGAAGTATGGCAGAGTGAACCCCGCCTTAGCGGTTCACATTCTCGACTCGATTGTCCGAGTGAACGACAACATTGTGTTGTGTTCTGTGTCCCTCTGGTCCCCAGCCCCCTCCTGTTCTCACTCCAGGTTCTCCCCTTGTGTCTCATTATGATCCCCAGCTCTCTCTAGGCTTCCCTCATGTTTCCCCCTAGTCACTCCCTGGTAGTTCCTATTTGATTTTGTATTAGTCCTCCTCTAGTTTTTAGTTGTTTATATTTGCCCTTAGTCTTTAGGTTTAGTTATTCAGTGTTTTATAGGTTAATGTTTATCTTCCCTCCTGCTTAGTTCTTTCCCC